TGAACAGAGCAGCTGCTCTAAAGGTCAGACTGAGACACTCTCGCCAGTTACTCTGATCCTGGTTTAAATCCTGACGGGTTCTTGGCAGATTAAGCTTCTTGATGAAGTGCATCTATAAATACTTTAAATCTCTTTGTTTGGAAATGCCACTAATAAAAAACAAACAAAAATGTTCTCTTAATGTTCAGGTGAATCTGTTTCCATACTTGGGCCGAGTACGAGGGATCAAATCAATCCTGAAAGACATAAACTTCCAGAGTAAACAGATGGGCCGCAGAGAGAACAAGTCCATCAATATGGAGGGACGAGTTCAGTTTGATTTACTGCAGGTGAGAAAGTCATACTGTTAATGACAATTTAATAATGAGTGACATTCCCAGGTCACACTGTGAGTTCACTGTTCAACTTGTGTGTGTGTCTGTCTTGTCAGGTTCTCCTCAGGGATTATAAACTGCGCTCATACACACTCAACGCTGTGAGTTTCCATTTTCTACAAGAACAAAAGGAAGACGTGCAACACTCCATCATCACTGATCTACAGGTAACTTGGCTGCAGTACCACTTTTGGCCAGCTGCATGCAAAAACAAGCTACATTAACACCCGTTTAGACATGTGGAGGATGATCACTCACCTGTCGTTCGTCCCACTTTGTCCTTGATGTCAGAATGGTAATGAACAGACCCGCAGACGTTTGGCTGTGTACTGCCTGAAGGACGCCTACCTCCCGCTGCGGCTGCTGCAGAAGCTGATGTGTGTGATCAACTACATGGAGATGGCCAGGGTGACGGGCGTTCCTCTGACCTACCTGCTGTCAAGGGGACAGCAGATCAAGGTTGTCTCCCAGCTGCTGCGACAGGTAACAGAAGTCATACACTTGTGATTGTACGTACATGTATTTGCATGGACATTAAATTAAGACTTGAGAGTACCTGTGTATGTTAAGGCCATGAAACAGGACCTGGTCATGCCTGTGGTTAAGACAGAAGGAGGTGAAGACTACACAGGGGCCACTGTCATCGAGCCAGAGAAAGGGTAAGGACAGTGAATCTGGTATTTGTGTTTTCTGCTGCCTGTCTGTTTTTTTTAAATAATGTAACTCATCATTCATCTTCGTTTTTTTTAAATAATGTAACTCATCATAGAGTCTTCATTCTCACCCTCCTCTGTGTGAAGGTATTACAGTGTTCCTATTGCCACCCTGGATTTCTCCTCCTTGTATCCATCCATTATGATGGCACATAACTTGTGCTACACCACTCTGCTGCAGAAGGGCTCAGCTGAGAAATTAGGGTAAAAGTTATTTTTATTTTTTTAAATTCTCAGTACAGAAGTACAGAAATTATGTCAGACCAGGGGTGCACCAGTACTAGTACTAGACCTGATACTTGAATGCTCATCAAGCAACTCCATAGTCAGCTGACTAATACTGGTCACAGTACATTGTATCGACCAGAACACGAATTAAAACATTTGTATCAATTTGTAAAAAAATTATATTTGTCCAAGCTAACATTAATTAATTTTGTGTCTTCAGTTTGTCACCTAAGGACTTCATCAAAACTCCAACTGGGGATCATTTTGTCAAGAGCTCAGTGAGGAAAGGCCTTCTACCTGAAATCCTGGAGAACCTGCTGTCTGCCAGGAAGAGGTTTGAATTTGTGCAAATGAATGAAGGAACATGTATCAAATTAGCACAACGTTTCATCACAGAGTTCACCTTAATGTCCTTTATGCAGAGCCAAAGCAGAATTGAAGAAGGAAACCGACCCTTTTAAGATGCAGGTGCTGGATGGTCGTCAGCTGGCCTTAAAAATCAGTGCTAACTCTGTCTATGGCTTCACCGGGGCCCAGGTGGGCAAACTGCCCTGTCTAGAGATCTCTCAGGTAAGTAAACTGTCATGGGTTAGACTAAGGAGACTAAGGATCCCAAAACTCATTTCAGAGCAAAGATAAGGTGAGATAAAAAAACATGAAGCAGGTGGAGAAGAAATGTGTGATGAATGTCAAGCTCCACAAACTGATGCTAAACTACTATCACACACAGAGAGTCCTTATTTTTTCAGAGTGAGAAATACGTCTTTGGTCCCCTAGGGGAACTCGTTGGTATTACAGTTGAAAGAAAAAAAAAGCTTTGATATAAATATAATAAAAGTATATCAAAAATATTGACAGTGGTAAGTCTAAATTTACAGCACAAGCAAGTTGTTTCGTTAATTTGAATGTATTCTTTTCTTTGGCCTTAGAGTGTCACAGGTTTTGGAAGACAGATGATTGAACAAACCAAACAGTTGGTGGAGTCAAAGTACACTATATCCAATGGTTTCCAAGCTGATGCCAAGGTGAAGAATATTTTCTTTTTTCTAATATCCAATGTTTATTACTCCATCATAAAGTTAAAGTCTGTCTGTTTTCTAAGGTCATTTATGGCGACACAGACTCTGTGATGGTGAAGCTTGGAGTTGCAACAGTGTCTGAGGCCATGACCACTGGAAGGGAGGCAGCAGAGTGGGTGTCGTCCCATTTCACTCCACCAATCAAACTGGAGTTTGAGAAAGTACGGTTTTGACAAAACTGAAAACTGCTGCCAAAGATGTAAAAAATAAAACCTTTTTTCAGTTTAATTTTTTTAACCGTGCGAAGACTAGGCTATATTTCTTACCATTTGGTCCTAGAAAAGCACTAAATGGTTAGGATAGGTTAGATTCTAAAAACAACCTTGGCTAGTTTTGGTTATTTTGTTAGTATTTATCATAATTGATCATTTCTGTCACCAGCAAGGTTTTTGCTGAAAAGATTAAAAATATCCAAAAACACTGGTGTAGATGAAGATTGTTTTCTTTTGCAACATTTTTTTTTAAATAAATGGTAGTGTGAAGTTATGTAATTCTCCCAGCAACCACTAGTGTTCTTAAGTGTTCCTAAACGATATTTGTCTCATCCACAGGTTTATTATCCCTACCTTTTGATCAACAAGAAGCGCTACGCTGGCCTGTACTTCTCCTCCAGTGCAGTCACACACGACAAGATGGACTGTAAAGGCATCGAGACTGTCCGCAGAGACAACTGCCCTCTGGTGGCCAACCTCATCGGCACCTGTCTGCAGAGAATCCTGATAGACAGGTACACACACATTTGCACAATTGTATTCTTTTGTTTTTCTTTTAAATACATATCTTAAGTTTACTAGCAAAGTTAAACATTATTGAGAGCTGCCAAAATTACCTTAAGTTAATTATGGCTGATGCTGTGTGGTCAGGGATCCTCAAGGTGCAGTGGAACATGCCAAAGAAGTGATCTCAGACCTCCTGTGCAACCGCATTGACATCAGTCAGCTGGTGATCACCAAGGAGCTGACACGTACCGCCCAGGAGTACGCTGGCAAACAGGCCCACGTGGAGCTGGCAGAGAGGTTTGATTAAAAACAAATATGAACAGATATTTTTTACTCAAAGTAAATTTTGTTAAAGGCTTTTTAACTAAAAAGGATGCACTTTTAGGATGAGGAAGAGGGATGCCGGCAGCGCCCCCAACCTGGGAGACCGAGTTCCTTACGTCATCATCAAAGCTACAAAAGGAGTAGCAGCATACATGAAATCAGAGGTGTGGAGTGTTGTCTTTTCTTCATTTGTTTCTCTGAACATATTCTGTAGAGGATGAGCCTTACCTTTCTGCCCTCGATGTTTCTTCAGGACCCCATCTATGTGCTGGAGAACAACATTCCCATTGACACACAATACTACCTGGAGCAGCAACTGTCCAAGCCCCTGCTGAGGATATTTGAGCCCATTTTGGGAGAAACCAAGGCAGAAAGCATTCTGCTTAGTGAGTGCAAAAATGCAACTAGGACAGGAAGTCAATTGTTTGCAAATTACAGGCCAGATAAGCATGTGTGTTGTAGGATTAAAGCCTAGATACAAAAGTAGTGTAAAGTTGTTTTTTTAAGTTTTATATATATATATTTTTTAGCTTAAGCCAATTCTTGATTCTTAGATGAGAATTTACAACATGGATTCTTGTTGACGGCATAGTTGCATTTTTTTTTTTTTTTAATTTGACTTCTGTTTCGTTTGTGTTAATCAGAGGGAGACCACACACGCTGCAAAACTGTCCTGACCTCGAAAGTTGGAGGCCTGATGGCGTTCGCTCAGAAAAGGAGCACTTGCATCGGCTGTAAAGCTGTGCTGAAGACAGACAGTAAGTATTTAAGGCTTAGTTTGCCTGTCAGTTGTCTTGACTATTGTGCAGTGTCTAACATCTGAATGTCTCTGCAGCGGCGGTTTGTGACTTCTGTAAGAAGAAAGAGTCTGAGCTGTATCAAAAGGAGGTGAGCGGGACAGTAAATCGTACTAAATCCTGCTGCTTTCACTAGATAGCTGTGTCGGTTGGCAGAAACATGGGAAATGTCCCATTGTTTACAAAGATATGAATATGCATGCTATTCTAAGTGCTAAAAATGTCATAACAAGTAAGGTGCAACATTAAGCAGTTCCATTAGATACCACTGCATCTAATGTAAAGAATCATATAAGCAGTGTATTACCAGACTAGACATGGATACAAAAGTACAGTATGTTGCTATGGACAATGTTTCTTTCTTTTCTTCAGTGACAGTAACTGTATAGTTTAGCAACCCAGTTTATGCGGCACAGTATTTTAAATTGTACGATGAGCAGGTCATATCTGTCAGAATGTTTTAAACATTGGACATTTGCTTGGACTCACAGATCTTTCACTTGAACACACTGGAGGAACGCTTCTCTCGCCTGTGGACTCAGTGTCAGCGTTGCCAAGGCTCGCTACATGAAGATGTGCTCTGTACCAGGTATGTACACACACACGAATCAAACACTACTGCACGTTTCTTGTACAATAGTGACTAAGAACCAACATCCATCTACTGTCTCCCCTCGACAGCCGGGATTGTCCCATCTTCTACATGAGGAAGAAGGTTCAAAAAGACTTGGATGATCAGAGCAAGCTGGTGTCACGTTTTGGATGGTGAAAAACACTAGGTTTCTTGAGCTTATTCTTTTGGACTGTTATCACTGCCTGTAAAAACACACTGTTACTATTTCTACACTTACATGTACTGTATGAATGAAATTTTGTAAAATAAACCCAGAAATGAACACACATTTCAAACATTGCATTGCTTTTCTTTTCTAAAAAAAGTTACCAGTTTAGTCCACCTCATCCTAATAAAATGACCAGTAACTAGTGACAGCAAACAAGAACAGCAAGCAAAAGCTTCAGGGGTTTATTTCTCACAGCTGAACTCAGTAACTTAACATCACAGGCTTGACATCAAATCTAGAACTTTAGGCCCTTGATGTGGGTGAATTTACTGTGATAGAAGTAAATTAAAGTTTAAACAAATGCTGTATATTTAGTTGGGGGAAGAATACTGTATAACAAAAATAGAAAGAATTTAAAAAGATTAAAGCACAGAAAAGGAGCAGACAAACACTTCAGTGCATGTGTTTATCTCGCATCCAGAACTATCCATCAACATGAATAATCACGTCTGTAATAAAATGTGGCCTAATTTGGTGAAAATGTTAAATATGAATCTAACTGGCAACACGGGAACCAAATAAAGTGTAGTTGATGACACTGATTCATTTATGGTCCTTGAAGGAAATACTGCTGTCACACAAAAACTGGGGAAAACAATACACGAAAAAAGCCAATGCTGAGATTGGGATACTAAAAGTCCAACATACACTCAACACGAACCACATGGGTCCTGGTGGTTTGATCTTAGCTCGTAACCTCATGCAACTGCACAGGGCAACAATGTAACACTGAACTCTGGACCCTTAAAGTCAACAGGAGCTAAGAGATAAAGAGAGAAAGAAAAACACTGGCCAGACCATATGTAACCACACAGTAATCACTACAGATAACTCACCATTCCTTAATCATTCCACCACACCATCAATATGAAATTTTCTAAAATGTTGACTAAAACAGATTCCTATCATTTGGTCACAAAATAATAATAATAAAAAAAAAACTGCTAAATTCACAAGAATGCACTTTACATCAACGATGCAAAAAGGAGGTGCAGTCTGTGAAAGGAAGAATGGGACAAGTGCCATCAGGCAGTGGTTCTCAAACGTCAGTGTTGGAACTTTCATCAGTGTCCTGAGGTCATGACCCTGTGCCTGTTGTCAAGGCCATGGCCATCAGTTTGGGAACCACTACCATAAGGGTTGCTGCCTGTGGTTTGCTATAGTATTGTACAGCGTCTCTGAGTGTTCTTCTTGCTCTTCTTGTTACTGCGGTTGGTCTCCTTGTACCTTCTAATCTCCCGCACCAAGGAGTAAAAAGCCTCCTCCACTCCCTGCAAAAGAGACACATAGAGGTTACATTAAGATTTTCACATGTTTAATTACCCAAGCATCCCCCCACCAATAATTATAGTTTGTTGGGGGGGTGGGGGGTAATTAAGCATGTGAAAATCTTAATTTCCCAGTGACCAGTGTTTGTTTGGAGATCTGTGAATAGATCTGAAGACTCACAATACAAGGGCAAAGATACAACATATTGCAATACTATATGCATAACGATATATTGAGTTTTTTTTATAATTGTAGGAACGAAATATTGCGATATTTCAGCGTATCATTACTTTTTAACATCCCTACTTGATATCAATGTTTTTTCTTCCACACCTGTCTAGTTTTGGCTGAAGTCTCAACAAAGGGGACGCCGTAGCTTCGAGCCAGCTCCTGCGCCTGTCTCGTCTCCACAGTGCGAGTGCTGAGGTCGCTTTTATTCCCCACCAGCACCATGGGAACACTGTCACTGTCCTTCACCCTGTTGATCTGCTCTCTGAGGGTCAGATGCACAAGGGACGTAATTTTTTGTGACTTTTATCATGTTTTTCAGAGCATGGTTATGAAGGATCACATACCTGTAGAGGTGAACATCCTCAAAAGACTTGGTGTTGTTGATGGCAAACACACATAGGAAGCCCTCTCCTGTCCTCATATACTGGTCCCTCATAGCACTGTACTCTTCCTGGCCTGCAGTGTCCAGGATGTCCAGCAGACATGTCTCTCCATCAATCACCACCTGTTTTCTGTACGAGTCCTGAAACAGAGCAGGGCCAAACATGTCCGCCATGGAATCCAACACTGTATTGCATCATTTTCCATTTTTTTATGTACAGTCATAGCTCTGCTATGTAGCAACAAGACCTTCTTCTTCAAATAAGGTTTTGTAACGGACTTGCCAAAACCTGAAACATTTTTGTGGCAATGATTACATGAAATGAAAGGCAGAAAAACTGCACAGTAGTCAAACATTAGTGGTGCTGTAATGTATTAGGAAATCTGTGCATTTTAACATATTTCACCAGCCAGTGAAATGTAAAAAAGTAACAAATTAGACATTAAATGCAAAATGATACATAAATAGTCACATTTTTTAATTAATCCCTTCCAAACATTGTTGGATTTTTCGATTAGTTTGATTATGAACTTATTAAAATCCTCATTTTAATGGTAAATTAATTGTTTTTTTCAAGCTCAGTACATACAGGCTTAGCAAGAGCCACAGTATCTACAAGCTACTGTTGCAGCAGTCAAACAATATCCATGCAAAAAGAAAAAAGTAAAATATTACTTGGTAAAACATCTTTGATTGTTTCATAAAAAGGTCACAAGTATTCTAAAAACGTGTTCATGGCCTGTCACTGTGGACAGCACTGTTTTGACCCACCATAATACCTTGAGAATTTGCAATGTTTAAAAATATAACAACTTTTTTTGATTAAAAAAAACAACTAAACTAAACATTGTGAACAACAATATCCACAGTTATATGGCAAAGTCAACTTTCACTACTACCCTAAACCACAATCAGCTGTTCAGAGTCGGTGTTGCCACAGAGAGGCCCTTGGATGGTCCAAGAAGACCTATTAGTAAATAACTATAGGGAAATTTAGCGATCCGGTGTATCGATTTAGCGATTCAGTGTATTGGTGTGATCTAGGGCTTGTTTTTTTACCTCGATGGTTGGATCGTATTCATCAACAAAGTGGTTCTGGATGAGCTGTATAGTGAGAGCGCTCTTCCCCACACCTCCTGCTCCCACCACCACCAGTTTGTACTCGGTCATGCCTGTGAAAAGTTTCCTCGGTGTTCATAAAAGCACTTGCAGTGTAGGAAAGTGAAAAAACAAACAAACAAAACTAAAAGGAAACTGCTGATATAAGCATTCTTCCCCTGCTTCGTGACACGGCGAAGAGACTAACCCAGTTTTACAGTGGGTTCCAGGTTTAACATTTATTATGTTTACCCTAACTACAACTTATCAAAACGACATGAGCATAATTATGTAATATTTAAACGCTACTCACCTCACTGTGTGTACAATTGCAACGTGTCAAAAGAAGAACGTAACCCAATTCACTTAAGGAAAACTGAGATTAGCTCTGCTACATAACGTTAGCCTAGGACGATTTCCTAGTTACCAACACTTGTAGAAACACTTTCGGCGTCTGTCTATAACTTCTTCTTTCGGCTAAAATAATACGTATCAATGGAAATATTTTTTTTCTGACTCTGTTTATTTAAAATAAATCTGTATTGATAGGTAAAAAAAATTAAACCAACGCCTCGCTGAGTGCTATTTAGTCTCCATTGTGATTCATTTTCAGCAGAGGGTTTACACATGAATCCTATCGTCTGGGAACGAATGAGATGACGGTCGAGCAGACAGGCGTCGTTAAGGACAAATCATAATTGAGTTGAAAATCTTAGCCCCGCCTATATCATGGAAAAGTGCCCAATCAAAAATAGGACAAGAGCAAACTTGGGCGTGAAGATATTGTCTTCACAGATGGTTGGCCTCAGCTTCTCCTTCAAAATTAATCGTAAAGGAAGACACACAATTTAAACTTACATATAAATTAAAAAGGAAAAAACATAAGAGCACGTTCTTAAACCAAAGTTAGGGTAGCGCCAGGGGTAAAGATAAATCAGTATTAAATTTTGGCTGCAAAACACAACCTTTTCATTGTTTTTTATGTTTATTTTTTAAAAATATATTATATCACGTCTTAGTTGTACTTTAAAAGCTGTAGCATAATTTTAAAAAAAATCATAAGTTTGGAATGTTTTACTCTTCCTCATTACACTGAGCAGAAATCAAATCTGTAATCTAATTATCCTATTTTGAAGGTATACGCATGCAGTAAGTAGTAAGATAAAAACATTAAAAACGCTATTACATTACATTTAGCTGACGCCTTTATCCAGAGTGACATCATTTTTTCTACAGCATTTGAAGCTTAAAACTACGGTTTATGATTGTTTACTGCCCTCTGCTGGTTATACTAATACTAAAACGTGCATAAAACTGATGCCAATTGTGTATTGCTAGAAGATAGATAGATAAATACATTTTATTATAGTTAGTAACAAAAGAAAATAGAAAAAAAATGACAATTTCGTGTTTTTTTTAACCTATATATATATATTTAGTTGAGAAAATTAGATCGCTTTTTGCGTTTCTTCCTGCAGGTTCTTTCATCTAAAAAAACCCTCATCAAGAGATGATTGTGAAGCCCTATGAGGAGAAATGAATTGGAAAATGTGTGCTAAACAAAATTAGATTTTTTTGTTTCTCCACAAGACCCCCTCCCCTCTCTCTCACGCACACACCTCCCCACCTTTTATCACGTCCCTTGTCTGTGACGTCCATGGTTTTTCACTCTCTCTCCCACAGCGTGCATCTGCTCTTCCATCTAATCTTTGCCGAAAATCACAGAGATAATCCGGCATCCATCTGTCCAGAGAGAGCAAGAGAGCGTGACAGCAAACCATCATTGCGCTTGTGATGTAAAAACAAAACACAAAAGCACTAATTGAGTAAGTCGTGGTGCTGATTGGACAAAACCTGACGACATATTGTGTTAAAAATACTAAGGTAATTTCAAATTCTCAAATTTGTTTTATTACACACAATAAAATCTCACATATACATTTTTTGTATGTAGAATTCTTCCCACTTATTATATTTTATAATTCTTTTGTTCCTCACATTTACATGTTTTCCCACCTTTTCACCACACATTTCGTCAGGGAACAGGGAGAAGAACAACACTGGAACAGTCATGGACTGAGGCAAAGAAGAAAATTGAGCATAAACACATTGACACAACACATAAAAATGACAACAGAAATAACCATTCATGTATTTTAGAGGCTTTCCTCATGAATAACCAATAGCCCGTCAAGGGTTAAAATAATGTATTAATGTATCAGTGTTAAAGTGTTAAGCTGTATTATTTTTAATTATGTAAGTAAAAACAAATTGATAAATGCTATGTGGAGCTTATGACAAAATATGCAATAAACATTTGTGTGCGTTTGTTTGGGTCGTGTATTTTTGAGTCCTTTTGTCTATGGCACAAACGTACACTTTAGTTTCACTTCCATTTATAATTGTATAAAAGCACAGACACTAAACAGGAAGATGATAAAAGTATTACCATTTGTACATTTATGAAGACAAATATGACAATGCTCTTGATTTTTGGCTTTTTTTGGTAGTGATACAGAACATGATATTATGATCAATTTTTAAATACTAAATCCTATTGAAATGGATAAAATAGACAGCAAATGGGTCGACCAGTGTCGTGACCATGTTAAAACCTACTGTTTTTCCATGAACATACTGGATGTGCTTTATGTCCAAATATCAAAATCTCTGCCAACACTGCGGCATGTGATGCACCTGACTGTGCTTATTTCAAAGAAGGAAGCTACAGTACGTACAGTATGTGTGTGCCTGTGTGTCCATAGTAGAAACAGAGCCTTTGACAGGATATCGCACTGCTGTGCTCACTGACACATACTCACCACGCAACTGTTCAGCACCTGCACCTAACACACACACACACAAGCCCCCACACACACACACACGAGACTGATGTGACATGTAAGCAGCATCAAAAGAGTTAAAAGATGGAGAAGACCAGAGAGGGTGAGGCCGCCATGATTGGCTGCAAAAACCACACCATCACTTTTGTTTGCCACTCGAGTTAAACATGACAACTATCCCAGTCTAACTCTCTGACCCTTGGCCATGCAACACAATATATTCAAATGACCCACCATTCTTGATCAATAACAGACTAACAGATGTGTCATCCTCATACACTAATCATTGGATATTTAATCCCAACTTTGAACTTTCCTTGTGTCACCTTGATTACATGGACTTCCTCAGCAACAGTCTAAAAATCTACCTATAATAGGTGTCATCTAGATGCCAAGGTGGAGAAGAAAAGAAAAACATTTAAATTCAAATTTGTAAAGCTGATATGAAATAAATCTATAATGGTCGGGGTCCTTGGAGTTCTTAGAGTTGATGAATAGAAATTACAATGATGCTTTTTTTCTCTCACAGTGATATATATATATATAAATATTATACATTTAATTATAATAACAATCATTTTAACATTGTGAATGTTAAAATTCACAATGTCTTCCTGTAAATTCATAAATTAATAATAAACTTTATTTTTATATAGACTTTTTTTAGCTACATACTGTATATACTTCTATAAATTGTTATATGTTATTAGGCTTAAATTTTTTAATCTATCTATCTATCTATCTATCTATCTATCTATTGCTGAAGAGTGGCTGAACAGCGTTAAAACATGTCACCATGATGATTTTGATTTCTATTAGTCTCTCCAGTCTCATGCACACGGAAGTGTCTAATGATTTGTTAGGATTGAGCTTTGTGACCCATATGTGGGACTACAGTGACCTAGTTAGGTCAGACCCAGGTGAGCCTTAGCTACGAAAGAACAGAACTCATGAAGGGCAGCCCACTGTAACTAAAAGCATCGTCAGCTCTACAAACACAGACACACAACACCACAGCACATTTGAACTTCTCTAAAAATGAAAAGAATGAAACTGATGTTGTTTATAAAAGCCAAACAATCCTCAGCTGAGATGCATCACTCCAGTAGGAAACAACCTACTTTATGAAATGCACAATTTTAAATGAAGACATAATATATGTACTGCATGACCTCACAGTTACCTTCACATTAAAACATTGTGGTCATTGTGTTTTTAGATTGAAATTCAAATATTTGACACTGTTCTAGAAGCTGGAGACACCTGCTGCACAGGTAAGAAGCTCAAACACGTGCACACACACACCACCACTTCCTCCATGAAACCAACCAATGACAACAGATTAAATACAATACGCAGGAGAAAAAAGAGTACTCTTAAAAATTATAGCTTTTGAATGATGTCAAGAATGTCTTATTATGTTTTAGAGAACCAGAAATCACATGCAGAGTGCTCTCTCTATGTCCACCCACACACACACCCACACACACACAAACACAGACATACACTGGAAAGAATGAGTTGCATATATCTGATATGTGCAGCTGTAAATATTGTACAACAGCAGGCAGGAGGTCCTTCCATTATTGCATTGACCGTCTGAGAACTCCTCCTCCAAAACAATCTTTCTTCTCTTTCTTTGTATGGCTTATTTGGGATTAGCCGTCAGTCTTCCTCTATGTCAGCGCAGTCTCTGTTTCTCCAGTATACATGTATGAGTTGTATCCAGGTGGCTGGACGTACTCCTCAGATTTATCCCAGTCCGTCACCCAACCTGCACCTCCTCCTCCCCCGCCTCCATTGGAAGCCACCACTGGTTGGCTAATGGCCCCATACTGCCCACCTTTGCGGTACATCTCCTCCGTCTCATTGGCCAGTTCGTCCTCATCAATGATGCCACACTTCTCCTCACTTGTGTCTTCTATGTCGGCCCATGGCTGTTTCTCTCCCGATGCAAAGATTCCTAGTGAGAACACAACCGTTAAAGTTCCGTCATCTGAACTGCCTGACCACACCCAATCCTCACAGTGGGACTTACCATAGAAAACCACTCCACCATAATGGACAAGTGCTGCTATAAGGAAGACATACTGCCACTCTTCACGTGTCTGCAACGTGAAGACGACATGAGCAAAAAAGTTTGTTTAACCTTATTTGACTTTGGGATCTATCTCTAATTTCATAACTCTACCTTGTGCTTGGTCATTGCCCCCACTATGAGGGGACACACCATTCCAGATAGTGTTCCCACACCATTTGAGATGCCCATCAGTATACTGGCATATCGAGGTGCAATGTCCAAGTGGTTGACATTAAATCCTGCAAGAAAAACAGATTTACACTTCATCATTTTTGTTACCTGGACTTTCAAACTGCTGCAAGGCAACACAGCAGCAAGTCTGATTTATGAAGGTTTGTTTGTAACGATGCCGTACCTGAGATAGCAAATCCACTGAATCCCACAGCGAGGACTAAGAAGGAAATGGCGACACCTTTCGTGTGGGAGAACCCTACTACCAGCAGTAGAGTAGCCTCCATTCCAAAACCTGCAACATGTCCACAGACAATCATCACACAGTAAAATAGATAAGACAGAGTCTCTGTTACACTGTAATTCTGTATGAAAATGTCAGGAGTGGCAGAGAACTGCATGAGGGTGGTGCAGCACATGCGCAAAGACAACCAGTTGGTGATAAAATGTGCAGTCTGATTGACAAATGGGTTCTGGGTAATGGTGGACGAGGGTTTTTATATCTGTCCAGTAAGTCATGTAATCTGCTGTACGATCAATGAGGGGAGGAGCTGAAGGACCTCCTCCAACACTCACCTCCGCAGTTCATCATCTTCCTGACGTTGGTGGTGGACATCAGGTTGTGAGTTCTAAGATAGTCTGCTAGCTGGCCTCCGACAGGAACAATGATTGTCATGACCAGATGGGGCAAAGCTGACACCAAACCCACCTGAGCAACAGAAAGAGCACAGAGTGTGAATGCCAACAGGACTGTACGTAAACAGGGAACAAAGGTGAAAGAGACAGAGATCGTCTGTCGTCTCTAATGTTGTAGTGGTCTCACCTTGCTGATCTCGAAGCCAAAGACCTCTTCAAAATAAGCTGGCTGGCTAATGAGCAGCAGGTAAAAGGTCCAGCTCCTGCAGAAGTTGGCCACGATGATGGCGTAGACTGGCATGGAGGTGAAGAAGTGTCGCCATGGAGTTTTGAATTTCTTTCATCAGAAAAAAAAAGAAAAATACTGATAAGCCAGCTAAAGTGACTTGGTGCTGGAGCAGCTGTGTTCTTTCAGGTTGTTCCATGTTATACCTGGAGAGGATTGGCAAACGATGCAGATTCACCGATCGCTTCTTCAATGTACTTTCTCTCCTCTGGTGAGATTGTGGGGTGAGCTGCAGGACTTTCATACGAAACCAGAATCCAAAACAAATACCAGAAGATCCCAATGCTGCCTGAGAGACAGTTATGGAGAAGTAGTACAAGTTAATAGACAAGGAGAACCAACAAAGGTGTAAAAAAAAGAAGAAACACAAGTCGATGATGACAATTAGGCAAAATGTTGCATATTTTTAGAATGTTTAATGTAAAATGTATGGTTTTGTAAAACTGTAGTTTAAATATGACAAAAAAATGATTCTCTACGCAGCAGCATATATGTTACAGAAATGTATCAGTTAATAATGACAAAATATTCATACGTCTCCTGGGGAATGCTGACAAATACAGCAAGGTTTTTGTGATAAGGAGAAACAAATAAAATAAAGGCCTCCAATGCTTCAAAAATCAAGATAAAGGTTACTGTGTTCTGCATGAAAATGCAGTACACAAATGCATACTGTGAAGAAGTAAAGTAAAGTAGTAAAATGATACTCACCATAGACGTAAAATACTGAAGGCCACCCAGTGTATTGCACCAACACTCCAGCTAAAGGCATGGCCACCACTGCTCCTGCGTAGGATCCTGAGAAGGTGTCGAACACAAATAACAAAAACATTTATTTCACAATGACCGAAAAAGTCCACACTAATCAATTTGAGTCATGTTAAAACTTTACCACAAAAGGCTGTTGTGGCTAACCGACTCCTCTCCAGTGGAGGAGCCCACTTGGCCCAGATCCCGTGACAGGCTGGATATGATACACCCTGTGGGACAAGACATCGTCAGGAAAAAGTGTTCCTGCATTTCTTCAAACGTTCCTGCACACGACGGACACTGTACCTCAACCAGACCCTGGCATATCCTGACCAGTATGACACAGCTGTAGTGGCAGCGAGCTGCAGATGGGATCAACATGTTGAGGGTGGAAGTGGCCACAATGGCAAAGCCAAAAACCCTTGAAACACACAAAACACAACCAATGTTATCACTGAATGTTTAGAGCTCAATGTATGCTCAAAATATTCACCTGTTGGCTGCAAATTTTTGACATATAAATCCACCGGGGATCTGTGTGACGATGTAGCCCCAGAAGAAGGAGCCGTGGATCATGCCCACTGTTTCAGGGTCCCAGGTGAACTGTGCAGCCTGGACATGGTAACGGTAGGAATCATCAGACTGTCAATTATCTTATAACAGAGACTGACGTGTAATCATTTCTGATCTTCTACTCACCACAAGAACTTCCTTGTTGCCTTTGTAGACAGTGTGGTCATTGACCATGCTAACAATGGCCACACCGAGGTTGCATCGGATGCCGAATGAGATACAGAATCCCAGGCCAGACAGGATAGCGATGATGTACCGCCTGGGCAGCCCGAAGCAGGTGCAGTCCACCACCGGCAGCTCTTTCTCCTCCACCAGCTCTGGACGTCCCTCTGCGGACAGTTCAATGGTTTCTCCATCGGGCTGCCGCTTCTCGATCAGCCTGTGAGGTTAGCACCCAGAGTCAAAAATAATGTGGCTTCTTCCTGCAACTACAGGCTGTAACTGGGGGTCCTCTGTCCAGTTCTTATTTACATTACAAAACTTTACCAGAGACCAGCCTGAGATCTCCACAGTACCAGCCCCGAGCTCTCAGTTCTCAAAGCGTGGACATGCAGTACTACCTTATGTATGAAGGCGGTCTGTAAATACTTCAAGGCAGTGATACTCAATCTTTTCCAGGCATTTTAAGGAAATATTTTCTCAACCAAATATATTATATGTTATATAGTATATATTTTACCACAATAATATGACACCATTGAACATGGTCAGCAGAACAGCTGTTCATGGTGAGTCTGTCAGCATTTTAAACATCAAAAGTACAGTAGCATTTCTCACCGTATTCAGGATTCAAGATATTTATCTGTAATCGCAGTGATCTGTACTTTTGTAGTCACTGTTTATCTTTCAGTCAATTTATGGTGAAGTATTGTATGAAGCAGAAATGTCCACTGTCCTAAGTACTCCTCGGTCTTTTATAAAACATTCTATACAATTTCTCTCGTTCCTCACGCTCCAAGTGCCTCCAATGTGGCTCATTCACTCACATGAACGGTCAGACTCTGACGGTGGTTAATTATTGAGGAGTTTTTGGATGAGATAAATAATTGAATGAAGCTTTTACACTGTGATCTGTCACTATTCATTTATTCTTTAGTCTGTTTTTCTCTGCATGTTTCATCCAACCAGTCACTCTATTTCCTTGTTGAGTTTGAGAACTTCCTCCTTTACATTCACACAGCAGACTCTCCTGAATGTATTTACGCAATTATTCACTCAATGTACATTAACAAAAACATTTACATTTGAAAAACATATTTCGTTAAAGCAATGTTTTGAAGTCTCGCTCTCTCATTCCCCTTTCCTTCTCTCTGACTCTCTCCCTCTCTCTCCTAATCTCCTACATCAGATTAGGATAACCAAAATATGTACTTCCGGAAATTAATATAACAGACTTGCATGGCTTGGCGTTTCCTATATTATTTTATTGTAATAAGATTTGTACAATTACATTACATTTTACATTTCACAGATTTATACTATATGTATTCACCTATAATTCACCAATTAGTCCTGGCTCTAAAAATTGAAATACAAAAGCCAATTGTTTCTTGATATATCCATCTAATCTGCTGTGACGTTTGTATCTGCACAGATGCTGCCCATTGTTGGATTTTTCTTATCTTTTACCTTTGTTTATTAGTGATAAAAGATCCACTAGGTGGCGATATTGCAAAACAGATGATGCAGCGTGGCCATTAAAACTTAGCTAATATTTAGACTTTCCTTTATTTTTTTTCGATACACTTGACCTGACCAAGGTGACTGGCCTTTTGACCTTCTCCTCACTAAATTAGTGCTCCCTCAGTGTCGCCCCCCTGAGTCACCATGAAGAATCCGGAGCCTTATTTACCGTCCTACACCAGAGACAGTGAAGACTTCAGGAGGATCCTCATTATAAACCTCTGAACAGATTGCAGCCTCACGCCGTCACATATGCTACCAGCTAACGAGGCTGGCCCACAGCTAAAATTACTGTTAATTACCGACGCATCCCATAAAAGGACAACCTCATCCAAAAGTGTGAGCATGTGTACGTTGGTGTCTGTGCGCACGCTCAGGGTGTCCCTGTCTTCTGATGCACTAGGTGTTGGTTGAAGGAATTCACTGGCACGCCCTGTGTCTTCTCAGTGTGTTCCTGAGAAACTGGAGGGGAGGGTGGGGGGGCGATAGGTTCTAAGAAAAGAAGAGTTGTCACTGAGCATTTGCGCGTGTGTGAGACTCATGCACGCTGTGAGCTCCCACTCAGGTGATGCAACTTCTCCTGCGATGGAGGAGCTGATTGGTCTCAGCTGGCGACGATTAATGAGCCAGCGAGCATGAGTATGCTGGAGTCCTGTGACCTCAGGCTCTGTGAAATATCACATTCACTACAGTAGCAGGCCTGAGCGGAGGCTCAGCAGTAAATACAGCAAACTCACACTGAGCTGCATCTGTGCTGTTCATCTGAGCACAGACGCCCGAGTTCATCGTCCAATGAAAAAAAAAGAATAAATAACACAAAAAAACAGTTGACAGGACAGTTAAATAGATACCAAACTGCACTGTACTGTACTGTATACTACATAATACCATACACAATAATATTATTTGCAGTACTAACTTTTACTACATTATCCTATAGGGTAATATAGCACTCCATACTATAGTGTACTACACTATACTATAATATACTATAATTTAGTTTACAATAATATTGTACACAGTACTAAATTATATTATACAAAACTATATTGTACTGTAATGTACTGTACTGTACCACTTCATGACCATGTCCTGTCATAAACTGGTACATTACAGTACTGCTATGTACATACTATGTATGTACTACTATGTATTACTGGTCATCTCAATACTGCGATAAACAACAACAGACACCACATCTGAACTATACTAACAATATACTGTGCTGTGCAAGCTACGCTATGCTATGCTATTTTATGCTATGCTATGCCAGGCTATGCAATGTTGTATTTTGCTGTATAGTAATACACTACTAATTACCACTTAACCATACTGTACTCTGCTCCCACTCCTAAAAAAGTGTTGTGGTTTTCTCATTCTGATGTAGAGCAGGGAGTTTGGTTTTTACTCCGAATATTAAATTCACCAATTCACTGAGTATTCTACGTAATCCTCTCATAAGAGGATGAGCAAGATTGAGACGGTAAGGGAGGAAAAACATTATATAATTCCAGGCGTCCTGCTGATGACATCTCTCTGTCCCATTTTCTTTTTGTCTTTTCCCATGTCTTTATCATTGTTTTGGTCTTTCTCACTCCTTTCTTAAGTGTAGATGCCGTTTTTAATGGGATAGAACTACAAACCTCTAAATGTTTTTCTCTTTTCAAACAGTCTATTTAAAATTGAGTAGTTTGTCAAATTGACTGTATTGTCTCCTCCGTCTTCTATGAGCCTCTCACTGTCCCTTTGGTAAACAGATTGGGTCTCGGTGGGACTGATTCACCCAGGGAGAAACCCTCCTCCCCATCCTGTCACACCACCCCTCCTGTGGTCCGTCACACACACACGACACAAATATAAGCGACCTTCAAACAGTCATTATCCAAATATTCAAACATCTCACGACTCAATCACGGCGTGAGTGCTGACTATTTTACCTGCAAACACACAACTCACAGCTCAGTTGTGGGATTAATACAACCAGTAAATGAACTCATCTTTGTCATTACGCCATAATCACATTACATATCATGATTTACATGCAGCCTCGGTCCTGCAGCATCAACACAAAGAGGTGAGGTAAAAAAAATACTGAGAGCTGCAATTCTACTGACATCACTGACAGGAACAGTGGTTTTGCTGCCAGTGTGAGTGAGTGTGAGCAAGACTTTTTAACTCCAAATTGGTAACTTAAAATAAAAAGCATAACACCAGCTATGCTTTGTAAAAATAAAAAAAAAAAAAAAAAAAGCTTGAGGGCTGTGATTGGCCCTAGGGCCCCACTTTGGACACCCAGCAATTTAAACAAAGTTAGTCACAAAGCAGATGTTAAGTGGCCCTGACCTACAAGTGCTGAAGTTTGTGCTGACCTGGTGGAGTTTATTATAGACACAGGAGATGCTTTCTGATGGAGAAAATCTTTAAATAATAGATGGACCCCTGGCTGCTTTCATCAGGAGGGATCATCGTGGTTTTGTCTGTGAGGTGGTGAGACAGCACACGGACACGGTGCAGAGACGAGCACTCCGAGTACGAGAACTCGTATATTTATTCTTTATGGACTCTGTCTGTGTCTTTCTCTAATCAAAAAATTGACTTTTCTTGTTCTCTTCAGAAACCATTGCTGACAAATGACGGCGGCCACAACCTGCCACTCACTGACTCTGTGTCCAGTAGTAGAGGAAAAAGCCTGAGATTTGCATATATCCATTAATCCTAGACCTTGATACAGTAGGGGGGAGTCCAATAGGGGGAGTCTGATGGTTTCTCAATGGATGGATGGATAGATGATGGAGGGGACAGCGGCTGGAGGAAGTGACATGGCCTGGGATGGAGGGAGTGGGAGGGGAAAGATGAGGGATTTTCATGGCTCGACAGCTGGACTAAAAAACTAAAGCTATTTCCGGATAGGATTTATACGTTTGGTTGCTACCTCAAATCCTGAGAGTAAAAGCTTAAAGCAGCAGCTCTATCACCAACTTAGATCTCTCTCCAGTTTTTAATGAAACATATTCATATTCTTACACCATAAACTTGAGTTTTCTGCAATCTGAACGTTTTAATGTTTTGATAACTGCCTTCACATCGTGAGCTTCAGAGCTGAGGTGCGACTCCGATCACTATAGATATTGACTTGATTCTGGTTCTTGAAGGTTCAGTCCCAGGATGTTTTTGTCCGTTCTTAAACTGTTTTCAACCGGATTAATTTAAAATTTCATCATCATCATTTTTCTTGCTTATTAATTTTAATCATTCCATTTAATTTTAATTTACAACCCTGTTTCAGATTATAAACCTGATATTATTGTGTTTTTTATCAACTTTTTGTTGCTTTTTTACATTTTTTTTTTCTTCTGGTTTAAGGTTGTAATCTGAAAACACTTCGGCGCCATCTGGTCAGCTTTCTCATTCATCCAGGTCGTGCCACGATAACGATTATGTAATCACACTCTCTTGTATCGGAAACAACAAATCACCGCGACCTGAGACAAATCTAATTTTAAAAACAACATAAACTAACAGATGCATCAAATCTTTTATAAAGAGTGTCGCCTCTGCTCCAACCTCTCTGCACTTTAACACTTTTAAAAACTGAAAAGCAACATCAGCATCAAACATCATGAGGTTTTTTTCCTCTCCATCCCTTCATCTTTTTGAGTCAATGTTCCAACACTTCTGTCCTGTCTGATCAGAGCCGCGTTCTGCGTAAAGGACTCCAGTACAAGGCTGAAATCAAAAGTCAAATTAAATAAAAATCCCACGGATGAACGGACGGGGAAAAGAGGAGAGAAACCCTAGGGCACTCCGGGAACTGCGGTGCCACTCAGGGCAGAACTTCCCCGAAAAACACGTAAACACGGACAGGTGAAGTCAGAGGTGGAGAACATTTGGATGAAGGGTGTTTACCTGTGAATCTTCCCCAGAGTTTTCCCCGCCACCTCCTTGAACCTGTCTGTTCGAAACTCCATCCTTGCAGCAGATGCTTGACCCGGCCGGTGTGGTGATGTCCTGCGTCCTGCGCTGCTGCGCCCTCCTCCTCCTCCTCCTCCTCCTCATCATCAAGCCATTGCGGATAGAGCTCTCTCTCTCTCTCTCTCTCTGTGAGGGAGACAAAACACACACGCATTTTGCGTTGATTCAGCTGTTGTAATTTCTGACTTCGGTCAAATGAGGGCTGATAAAAGGTAAAAATAAAATAATAGTACTACACGCATTAAAAAAAACAACAACAACAAAAAACCAAACAATTAAAAAAAAAAAAATCTTACCCCAGTTCTGTTAAGTGCTGCACATCAAGTCCACCTTCCAACTATTTCCAAAAGATAAAATGTAATAAATTGAGACAAAATAAATAAAACATTCGCTATTTGTTTTTATCTAAACACGGTGAGCCGGAGGTCAGGGGACAGAGAAGGGGGCTGATGCTTTGTGGTGGCCAAGTCTAGCCATGTTCACCTTGTGACCCTTGGGGGGCGCCACTGCTTTTGTCACATATACGTATTGCTCTTGGGGATGTGTATTTTATATATAAATACAGTATATATATATAAACCCATAACATTCTGTTAAAACTGACTTTGTCTGCAGACAGAAAATGCAGCTCAAAACAACCATGGACCAAGTGTGTTTAAGTACTACATCATCTACAGCTTTATTTATTAATACACAATACTGCTACACATCTGAACACCGTGACCAAAAAGACGAGGTAAAATGACATCATCAAAAAGTACAATCAACACTGAACAAATCCAACTCAACTGCAGTGGAAGAAGACTCATCACAGTTTCTCAAGGCAGAATGTTTTCATGCGAATCATTACCATCACCGTTTATTGGGCCGACATTTGCTGCAACTACAATCTGACTGCAATACGTTGTTATTTCAAGTTGTAATATGAAAACAACCACTGTGACAGAAATATGAAAACAAGTTGATAAAGTGACGATCATGCTCTAGTTTAATCTGTCCACTAGTTTAAAGGGTGAGAGATGAAAAAACGTTTGATCAACAACTACAACAACAGTCACAGTGACAACAGCTCAATCTGAGCGGCGTATCTGACTCATGATGTCACTTCTAACATCGAGTTAAAGATTAGGAACAGAATCATCCTAAGTAGCATATATTTGACTAATGGGTGATAGTATAGTAGTAGTAGTAATAATAATAATATTATTATTAGTAGTTTTCTTTTGGGACAACATCAGGTTCCACTGATTAACTAATTATATTGACGACTGGTTTACTGTACCCTCTGACACCAGAAAAGTCAGTCAGAGTTTGCCCAAACCTTTGAATTTTTGTAATGCGTAGTGAGAAAACATAAATATATACAGTATTGTATATCATAAATATATATATATATATCTATATATTTATTAGGGATGTCCGATAATATCAGCCAACCAATATTATCAGCCCATATTAGCATATTAAGTAATATCTGTAAGAATCATTATTGGTTTTTCCACCGATAATGAAACAAACAACAAAACAAATGATGTGTGACCTACTAATAGTTTTCGGGATAAACTGTGGTATATTAAAGTAAAAGTCACAAGATGGCGGCATTAACAAATAAATATTGTCAAGCCTATCTCTGTGTTGGAAATTAAGTGTTTGGACAATATCGATATATCGAATATCGACAAAAGTTAAGGTTGGACATCCCTAATATTTATACATATAGAGTTTCAGCGAGACAAAGAAGAAAACAGAGGTAGTTTGGAGGAGACAAGTGATTTAGAAATGCAGCCGAGGTGTGATCTACAAAAGTACTAAAGATGGTGATGATGTCATCAACAGACACTTTGACTGGGGATCAACCACTTGTAATGTCAGTAATTGTCCTTGTTTATTTAAATCACTTCAGTGGTTCAGAATTCTGCCAAAACCTGATTTCTTTCACTCGTAGGCATAAATGGTAACCATTCAATAATTACTTCAATCATTTTTTGTTCAAACTTGGTAAGAAAACAAGACACTGGCACAGGAACATCAACAAATATTTAACAGAAACCTTTTTTTTTTTTTTTTAAAGAGAGTGTTTTATTTTTTCCTAAACATGATGATATGTTTAGAAAAGTAATAGAGGTATTTCAACGGAGGTCATAGATTTAAAAAATGATACTGATATGTTTGGTTATTAACTTTATAAATAGTACAGACTTTGATGAAAGTCTTGATTTGATTTAATGTCGTCCCTTTAATAAACAAAACAATTTGTTCTTTCTCACAGAATGTATCAATGCTCACACTCCTGTGTCCTCCTCTTCCTCCTCCTCCTCCTCCTGCTGGGGCAGGAGCCGGTAGTGTTCGTTGCCCACTGACAGGAAGGCAGTCCTGGGGTGAATCCCGCTGTCCTCGGGAGGGGCTCGCTGCTGGGAGTCAGAGTCCAGCTGCTCCGTGGAACTGCATTTGGTGTACATCTCACGGTGAGTCTCCTGCACACGGCCTTCATCAGAGCCGCTGATACGGAGCTGGCGTTTTTTCACCATGGAATGGATGTAGCCAATAGGTACGGGCAGGCTGGCAAACACGATGAGCAGGACAATCATAGCCAGGGCCCAGCCAGGATATTCCAGAGTCATCTCAGAAGCCTGGACACAAGACACAAGATCTGGTGGATTGATTTACCTTTTTTTTTTACCTAAACTGTTCTTGTTTGTCTGCCTCAACCTGGTGTTTTTTGGTTTAGTTTTGTAAAGCATTAGCTACAACACCAGTGTGGAAAAAGATGAAAAAACCGTGGCCTAACCCTGGTTTTATCCAGGTCACTTCCTTACAGTGACCAGTACTTTTTGGCCAATGTGAAAACATTATTATTAATAACTGTAGTATATATATATATATATATATATATATATATATATTTGCTCTACATGGAGTTTTCATTTTGAGGTTTTTTTTATTTAATCTTTGATTCCTTGAAGTTGTTTTGCTATGTTGATAATTTGATTCATCTCTAAGCTTAATTCTTCATCATTTTAAGTTTAACTTTTGACTTTTGGCTTTTAGCTATTTCTGGGCTAGTCTTAATTTTAGAGCAATTTATTAAAATGAGGATGTAGTCTTGAAGTCTTTGAAGGTTCTTGCTCATAGTGATCATTTAAAAAACAAAAACCTTATGGTGAACACAATCTTTCAGATCACGTTTCTAAGCAGAAATAACTTCTGCCAACACATGCTGAACCACAACAACCAAGTGTGACACCACAGCAGATGCCTCTGCAGATTTGCAGACTGACACATTTTCAGTGTCTTTCAATCTATGCATATATTTATTACACTAGGAAGCAAACGTGTTGTGGTACTCGCTCTGTAAATAACAACGTGTTAACGTCACTTTCACTTTTTTCCGTGATTTCTTACTGTGTTCTGATTCCAGGCTGTGTACGTGGGAGATTTGAAGACCATGCGCAACAAACTGGCCGCCAGAAGACCAATCATTGCCAGTAAGCAGACATATTTCCACAGGTACTTATACACCACTGGAGGGCGCCATTTGAGCATGACTTCAATATCATCCAAGAAGCTGCAGTGGAGAAGTAAATCACTATAAATACTGTGTCTGTATTTAAAACAATCGTTCAAACTTTTTTCAGTGATGTTCATCTTTACCGGTCGGTTCCATAAACCCACGACACACTTATGGTTTCAAACACAACCACAATGACCAATGGCAGGGTGGCTGAGTAGTCGTCGAACATCGTCACAAAGTAGTTGCCTGAGCGCTGCGTAAATAGAAGTCCTAGGACGAAGCCCAGAACACAGCTGCCCACTGGAAAACAGAGTCAAAAGAATGGAGATCAGATTTAGAATGTAGAAAAATAATTATCCGTCTGAAGTGATCTTAGCAGACAAACTTTCAGTAACTCTCCATTTTCACATCTTTGTCAACAGAAAAAATGTCATCCAGAGAAAAACAAAGTATGTAACTGAGAGCCAGTATCTAAAATAGACCTACCGTCCTGGTACTTTGAGAATAAAGAAATGTTCATTTTTATTTTTGCCGTACAGTTATGCCAATAAAAACTTGCACTGTGTGGATTTGGTTTTCGTACCAGTCAGCGCAGTCCTGTGGCGTCCCAGGAAGCTAAAGTTGTCCATGAGAGGCGTGAGGATTCCCTGCATGGTCCCAAACATGGTGCTGAGGCCCAGGTTGAGCAGCATGAGGAAAAACAGTGTGGACCAGAAGGGACTGGCTGGGAAGAGGGCCATCACCTCAGTGAAGGCGATGAATGCCAGGCCTGTTCCCTCCACACCCTGCAGTCACACGAGGACGGAGGGAAAAGACAGGGACAAGGTGTGCAACTGGACATCTACTCAAGGTTTTTTTTCTTCTTTTTTTCTAGCTGTTCATGTGGTTTTTTTTACCCCTACCTGAGGATTAATACTTGACCTCAAAAAAACCAAAACAACAACAACAGTCATTCGATACCTTTATCTTTAAAACTCAATTTATGGACTCTGTGATTTATAGCGACCTCTAGTGACCTTTAGTTCCTCTCTGTTTCTTTACTCTCTCTACTACCACAGCTTGACTCCATCTCTCCTGGGAAGCGGCTACTAGATCCAGTGTCACATGTGTTTTCTTCCTCATGGATATTTTACTACACCTCCACCAGATTCCTGAGGGCTTCTGGGAAACTCAGCAGTCCAACTGTGTCATTGTCAATATGAACAGACACATAAAGACACTGTATACGTTATGGACTGTGGGTAATATTGAAAAGGAGTTTCTTCAGCAGTTCTTTAAATGTGGATTTGTTGTGGCAGTCTCCTATTGTTTGGGGTAATAAATCCCAGAAGGTGTGGGCAGCTATAGAAAGGCTCAATGTAATGAGCCTTTCTCATGAACGGTACCTTATTCATCTCCTCGTCCAGGTTGCAGTCAGTGATGTTGGGGCCCACCACTGTGCTGTAGTGACTGTACCACTCTCTGTAGTCAGCTAAGGACACAGAGTCTGGATCAGTCACGTTGAACGTCGGCCACCACTGCTGGTCAGATCCATGTGAGGCCATGGTGCTCAGCAAACCAAGGTTACTACAAGAATGTTCAAATAAAAAAACATGAAAAAGGGAAATTCAGAGATGTTCAGATTATCTCTAACTGTGTCATCAGTCAGGGATAATTATTTTCACGCGTCCATACTTAGCCATGCAGCGCAGCGCTATGTTCTTGGCACGAAAACCCAGCACGACAAAAACCACCAGCGAGGCCAGCACAGACGTCATGAAGTTTATGCCAGAGACCATGAGGGCATCTCTGTGGCAGTTGTTGTGATAGGGGTTGTAGGAGGAGTAGGCAATAACAGAGCCATAGCCAAGGCCCAGGGCAAAAAAGACTTGTGTGGCAGCCTGTCGCCACACCTGCACATTACCCCAAATCTCAAGCTGAAAAAAACCCACAAGTTTCAGTTTTCATGGTTAAAATGCAAACACAGTTTACTGATTAAAGCACAGTACAGTATTGTAAGGAACCAGATCATTTTGTACAACACATGTAACGATATTTTGAGCATTTGGGCAAAATGAAAACAAAGACTGTTTGTAGGAAATGGTAGAAATGTTCAGATTTGTCTTCTTTAATCACAACATAAAGTAAAATAAAAATAACAATAAAAATCCCAGCTTACCCTAGGATAAAACATGAAGGTTATTCCCTCAAATGCACCATCCAGCATCAACCCTCTGATGAGGAAAATGAACAGCACCACATATGGAAAGACAGTGGAAAAGTACATCACCTAGGATTTAGAAAGAAAGAAAGTTCATTTTTTCAACATTCTAGGAAAATAAACTGTCTTTAATAAATCTGTTGCAACTAAATCTTAAAGAATCTATTTCTTTTACCCTTGCAGAAGACTTGATGCCTTTAATCATGGCCAAACACACTATCGTCCAAGCTGCCAACAAGCAGCCGGTCATGATGGAGTTCATTTCTCCAGATTCCTCGATAGAGTTGGTGATGTTGAGCGCTTTCCGAAACCAAAAGTATGATGTTGCAGAGCTGCCTGCACATTCTTTCACTGCAGATTAAAGACCGAGAAGAATTAAATTATGACTCTTTGACCATTGGCATCAACTCAACAGCATTTCTTTTTAATTTCCCATTTAACCTTCAATCTTTGTGGTGTAAATACCTGTGGAATTAGTGGTTGGGTTCAGCGGACAGTGCTCCCAGGGTAGAGGATACTGAAACGAGTTCCCCATGTAGAACAGGCTCCATGCAATGATAACGTTGTAGTAAAGAGCCACATAGAAACAGACCTGAAGACGGAGGGGGAAAAAAGGTTAGAATAATCAGCTGTTAATTTGTTATACCTCTGATCAGTAATATTAGGCTACTGAAAAAAAAGAGTCTTTGTGGTTTTGTTAAATGGAAATAAAAATATAATTTTTTTTTATTATTCAAAGCATATTCAGAGCATTTTTGTTTTGTTTTTTAATGTCTGAAATGCATTACAGTCTGTTACCAGTTACTATTTACATGCCTCTTCAAAGACCTAATGTTAATGGGACTAAAGGTCTTTTCAGGGTGTAGAATTAAACACCATGTGTTCTATGTGCACAGAAATTCCTCTGCTCTCTCTCTTTCTCTCTCTGTTTGCCTTGAATCATTAGTATAGAAAGTGCTTATGTAACAACGTCCCAGTGCTGCAGCAGCGAGACTCAGATTACAGTCCTGTGAGCTTTCACCATCGTCACTCGTCAGAGACAAACATCATGCTGGTCAGTAATGAAAGGAGAAGTTGACAGAGTGATATTGATGGTCGAACACAGCTTTGAAGAAGGGATTTCCGTACTGTTTACATTCACTAAAAACACTCTGAGGCTTCTCTTTCTCCTAAGATAAATTACAATATGCTGTAGATTAACGGACTGTTGCCACATACACAGAGATAAGACAGAAAAATAAATCATTAAATAAATAAAAAATAACCCTTAACCGACCATACAGCTGGAATAGCCGATCCCAGCCAGGTTTGGGGAGATATGCTTCCATACACCGATGCTGCCCTGTCTAATGCTCTGACCAGCTGCTAACTCCATGAAGAAGAGAGGAACTCCAATGATCAGGAGAAGAAAAACATACAAGACCATGAAGGCACCTGGAGGGAAGACAGATTTGGAAAAAAATAAACACAAAAAACACAAATTACACACTGACTCCGAGGGTTTCTTCTCCACGTGTTTCCTATTTCTGGTCTGAAATCCAGAACAGTTCTCTACTGCTTGTGCATTAACCAACCACAGGTAAACACTCAAAGTTCTCTCTTCAACAGACTCACCTCCTCCATTTTGGTGGCAAAGATACGGGAATCTCCACACGTTCCCCAAGCCGACGCTGAATCCCACCTGGGCCAGGACATACTGGATCTTTGAATCCCATGCGGGTCGGTCTCCATTGTTGTTTTCAGGTCCTTCAGGACCAGTGAGCTGAGACTGAGAGCGGCCTTCACCGAGCCAATCTCTGTCCTCAGCACTGTCCAGAGGAGGTTTTTCTGTCTGAATATAAACACAGAGGTCGTTTGGAGTTAGTCAACAAGTAGCAAGAATTTTTGCTGACAAAATGAATGCAGTAACGGCCTTATTTAATGTGAAATAAATTTAGAAAATCTGATCATCAAGACTATTTGTCTACCTACCTGTTCTTATTTGTCTCTGTTCCAGCAGTAAACAGATTTTTTCTTTTTTGTCATATCAGGAAATGTCGATATACCTCGACTAACTGACAAATACACTGTGATTAACTGGACTAATATTTTAAATACTATTTACATTAACCACCCCTCCCCCCATAAGAAAACTTAAGAAGACTAAAGACCCCTGAGAGTGCGCAGGAGGAAACAGGAAGTGGGTCACTCTTGTGTTTGTACGGTGTTACATGTGTGCTAAACACAGCCCTCAGATCTGCTCTGTGAAAACTAAACAGTGAACACACATGTGCTTTAACACATGCAGCGATCCACCCTCACAAATAAACACAGAGGACACACTCAATGGACAGGAAGTGTCTACAGCGTCTAAAATAGGTTTTAAAATAAGTTTAAAAAAATAAATATTGCGTCTGGTTGTTAGGGGGCGACATTTTCTTAACAATAGTGTCAATTGTGCTCAGACACCGACACTAAGACTTCTGCAGTGTTATTTATTTACAGTCAGAAACAAAAACATTAGGAAACCACAGGTGTGTGGCAACAGGAATTGCACATTATTTCCAGCGTAGCTGGTGGCAGGACGAGTCAATGCAGGTATGAATATACAGTAATATTAATATGTTTATCAATAAAAAAGGATAAACAGGACAAAGAATATTCACATGGAACAAGATAAAAAAGGAAATGATTGTAATTGTTTTGTTTTCAGTCAGGCTGTCCTCAAACTGCAGCCTCATGCTCTGATACTGTGCACCAGCCAAACTAGCTTTAGAACATGGACTCAGACCAGTTCCATGTGCACGGTCTGGCTTCACTGACCGAGGACGTGGTGTTTGACCCAGAGGAGTATGCGGCGGGTCAGCACACGTGGTCAGATAGAGTGCGGGTGATTTTGGAAATATGTAGGCACACGTGGGGAGTTAAGTGTGAAGGGTGACGAGGACATGAACACACAGACAGAACAGGTGTTGGAGACGGCTCCAGCCACTGGGTAAATCTGTGGGTGAGGTTCTTGATTGACATTAGAGAATGAGAAGAAGAGTCCCCCGGGGAGCGGTGGGTTTGCATTGGTTCACGGAGTGGGTGGGATCGAGGCAAATGGCTGACCAACAAGGAGAAAGACTAAAAGACATTCATCAGAAAAAAAGTACTTTGAACAAATTACTGGGAACTTAATTTAATTTAATTCAATTTAATTTAACATTAAATGCTGTGAAGTCAATGTCTGACCTGAAAATATTTATCTGTGTGAGTTATCCCCTTAGGATATAATGGAGGAAATCAGCACACATCAGAGGTCACACAGTGGAGAAGTGGTCAATGCCTTTGCCTTACTGCAAAAAGATCGACCGTTTGATCCCGGTGATGACTGTGGATTGTTGTTCTATTGTTTATTCTATATTGGGCATTGGTGTGAAGGTGAAGTGTGATTGGCTGTACCTGGGTAGTTAGTGTATTGACTGAGTAACTTATTTACACACACTCAGGACTAACAATCCAGTTCACAACCATATGAGTTTGTGCACAGCACACATGCAGTTCTGTTGCACACGCCGACTGTTCATGGACAGATATGTGGTGTGAAACACATCTGTGCTGAACATGTGGAGCGGTGAGTGTGTACAATCAACCGAGAGGAAAACACACACAAAGAGTCATCTGTGAAGTAGAGATTAAGGAACAGTGAGTACTGCAGAAAAAGTGAGATTTTTTTTTCTACTCAGAGCTATTGTTGGCACCCCCTCTGTCTCCCCACCCTGACACAGCCAAAACTTTAACCCCAAACCTAACATCAAACTCCATCTTAACCACATGGATTCCTAAAGCACTGCTATTCTTAATTACAAAACGTAATACAATTAAACAAGTAAAAAAGTCACCAATTAAAAACATCTTTAACAAAAATGGCCATAAACTGTGAAACAACTTTGTCTGACTATTCTGCCCGTTGTACCACGTACAGAAAAACATCTCACTGTATATGTCACTTGGACTCATTTATCAGGTGGCTATGGTAATTAATTCGTAGAACAGGAAACTAATCTTCTGCATACATACGGCACTTTCATCTAATGCGCTTCTTCACCAGCTATCAACTTACAACGAACACGTGGAGACGCAGAGACGCGTGAACTAAAAACATCCCCAGCGCGTTGCTGGTTTTGCACGTAAAACTGAGTTGTGGGCACCCACGGGGGACACGCCCCTCATATTGGGAACCACTAGTCCAGAGTCGTAATTTCTAACGGTGAAATGTCAACTGTCCAGGACTTCCCTCCCCAAAAATTCAGTCAATTAAGAAAGAAAGAAGAAAGAAAAAAAAGCAGAAACTGAAGAGAGGTAACGTCCCTGAAAGTTAGTAAACAAAGAAAGTGTGAAGTTTTGGAACACAGCAGTGTGACAGTGTGAGTGTTGCTGGAGAACATACCATGCTGACAGCGCGGTCTAACACAGGAGTAGAGTTTCCAACAGCAGCAGCAGCAGCAGCTCTGACAACAAGGGCAACAACTTTTAAACTGTCTGTTCTGGTTTCAATTATTTTCTAGTTTGCCTGGAAATCCCTCCACTTTTCACGGTCCCCGTCCTGTCCACGTTTCTTTGCCTAAATACAACTTTCTGTCCTCGTCAAGTCAAGGAGAAGTGGAGAAGTTGGCACAGCTGCAGCAGCCAATGGGCTGTGTCAGGGGGCTGAGCTCCCCTTCCCCACGGCAGCGTGAATACACACTGTTCCCCTCACTCACACTCTTCAATCCACACACATACAAAGAGAGAGAAAAAAAACTAGAGTCCTAATGTTTCTCTGTGGGCACTGTGGAAGGAGTAGCAACATCTACTGGTGAATATAGTAACAGCACACTGTTGTCAGAACTGATGTGGAACTTTTGTGGAAGATTTTTTTTTTGATAATTCGGGAGGGAAGAATAATAACTTTCAAAGTTCCACTTTGAAAAAATTGAATATCAACCTAAACATTTCAGTTGGTAACACATAAAACAAAAAGTAAAAAAAATGGAACTGTGAAAAGACACAGTTTAGAACCAGGTCACATGTGACATGACAGTCCATCTAGTTGTTTAGGAAGCAATTTGTGTATCATCATTTAACAATTTATTTATTATAATGGAATAATTATTTGTCTATCATTGATATTCATAATAAATATTAAAAGCCTGCAGAGTGTAAGAAAGGGTGATTACAGGTTGAGGTCAAGCGTTAGAACCAAAGTGAGAATGTGGTGCAAGTAAGCTATATGACAGCCAATGGCAAATAGGCACAAATTGCTGCCCCTTTCACACCCCCAGTCCCCCCTTTACTGTGAATATAAATAAATATCCACATTAGGTCGTATTACGCTTGGATTTGTCAGTTTTGCAGGACAGGAATTAAGCCCTTGGGGTTTTAAACCTGTGGAATCAGGGCCCCCAGGAAAACGTGTTGACGTCACTACCATACTGACAGAACTCCGCAGGTAATCACTGAATACACAGTCAAATACTACAAGATCAACATGTTTACATCAGATATGGATCTGCCTCTCAGTGGAGAGAAAGGAACACCAGTTAGTATTAGATTTCGCTCTCAGCCGCCTGTTGAGTGAACACGAGGAATGCGATACTCCCTCTAGTGGGTATAATTCGCTACGACGCTCGCCACTACATTTTAAAAGCCGCGTTAATATAGTGCTGCTGCTTCGGTCTCCTTGTTCAATGAGGCAGGAAGGATGTTTCACAGCAGAGCGTCTGAAATAACAGTTGCACCGATCGTCTCCACTATTTCACACGACATTTTCAACATTTGGAGACAGGTCATATAACAGGAGGGAACCATCTTTACACCAAAGTGAGAAAATGCCATAAATGGAAACCAATTTTCTATTCGAAATGTGTACATTGTAAAAATGTAATGTGTAAAACTGAAATATACTGTATATACACTTCAACTGTGGCGTATGATGACCAGCTGGTGTCGCTGTCCACCAACATTGCGCTTTTCACAGGCGCTTTTATAATCTTTGGAAATTGCGTTTCAAGCGTCATCACTGCCCTCTGCTGGCTCAATTTCGCACTGTTAGACATTTTCATTCATAAGTCTCCCAAGTACCAAGTACATAGTAGAGGAAAACGGGTGAATGTAGACACAGTGTGCCTGTGGATGTACAGAGCACGGAATACTTTTTGTGATAGACAAATACATTTTCGATACATTTTTAAAAAGAAATTTTCCTGCTTTGTATTCAACACAATTTTTCCTCTTTCAATACTTTTTTTTCAATTAATATTCACTTCTCTTTTGTCAACTTTTTCTCAGGTGAAACCAGCGATGTGCTGGAGGAGAACCGCAGGACATTTTTGCATTGGCATGCACTGCTGATCACTCAAGGCCCTGGTTTGGAGCCTGAGGCAGTTGCTGTCTGAGGTCACAGGAAGAGAAGACACAGAGAGATGCAGAGAGAAGAGTGGGAGGTGTGTGAGGTGCAGGGGATGGAGTCAGGGGAGAGTGAAAGCAGCAAACATGAAGTCAGGAAAGAAGGCCAGACTAGTTTTTCTTGTTCCTGCATATCTGCTCAAGGTGGGACGGGCTCATGTAAACAGCTCGGCTCAGAGCACACACAGCTCAGCATGAGGACTGGCTTCTGTGCTGTGGACTGAATCGCTCAAAAGACACCGTAAGGTACAGTGATTTATATGTATTTTACATCCCCGCTTTTGTGTAAACTTTGCTTAGGTGTGTGTGTGTTTGTGTGAGTATGGGTGTGTGTGTCAGTGAGAGAGGCAGGTACACCTGTCATCTGGAGGATTACTGCTTGATCTCAGTGATGTGGAACTATGTGACAAGTTTACTTCATTTTAACTCACTGGAAAAATCACATGACTTATCAGTGAATGTGCATCACATAAGAGTTTGTTGGAGCCTGAAAACTATGTATTGTGCTTGAATTAATGCTCTGTCAACATGGTAGAGAGAGAGAGAGAGAGAGAAAGAGAGAGAGAGAGAGAGAGAGAGAGAGAGAGAGTGTGTGTGTGCAACCTGGGTAAAGAGAAGCGGCTACAGTGTGTGAGTTTTTGATTTCCTTTTCAACAGTTTCTCCATCAGGTTTTGACGGTTGTGTCATCTACATACCATGACAGTGGTTTTTCCTGTCATATGTATCGGTACGAACATGTGCTCTCAGAATACTCCACATTCTTACAACCGACCCGTGGAATGCAGCACTGAAAAGCCTCCACATTCTCTGATATGCCAATACTGGTGTGTTAATAACCTGACAAAGATTCTTCTTTTGTCATTAGAGAAATTGAAATAAATGATGAAAGGATCCATTTAAAATTGAATGTAAATCAAATGACATGAGTCAGAAGACAACAATCTGGTCATTCTGAAAGCTACGCAAGAATGTTAGTAGTGAGTGGTTAATGGTTTTGCAATTTACATTGTATTCATATTTGTTTGACTTAATTGTGTCTCTGTAGGTGAGGTGAAATAATGCCAACTCACTGCATTAAGCACGCTGTAATATTAAACTAGGAAAAACTTCATTCCATTCCTGTTTAATTCTCCACACAACAGATGTCTGCACCACATCCACCCCTGGTCCCTAGAAAACCCTCCGGTGTCCAAGTCATGCCACGTCCAGGAGGACAGCCTCCTCCTGCTGCTGGTGGTGGTGGCGTACCAACGTTCACAAACTTTGCCAAAGGTATATTCATCTGTGTGACGGCTGAGGCTGGATCATGTTCTGCACAGCAGCAGTCCTTCAAGTCTGCTTTAAACAGCTGTGATTTTCCCCTCTGCTCAGAGAACGACGCCATCAGAGACTCACAACTGACGCCTCAGCTGGACGCAGAGAGAGAAGTGGTACGTATTTGTATGAGCCTTGACGACACTTATGAAATGACATCTATCTGGATGAAGATTGTGATCACTGTGAAAATGATTAATTAGAGGCGCAGCCTTCAAGATGTCAATAGTATTTTTCATGTCAACACAAAAAAGAAGATTTACTTCTGCAATCAATTTCTTTGCAATTTTAAATTGAGAATTCAAGCCAATGAGGTAAAAGTTTTTAGAAAAATGTAATGTAACCGTTACATTATTAAAGTACACACTCCTTTCTATGTCACTACATGTCTCACACGGTTTGCATTTCCTCCAGACCATTCTCAACCACTGCTTTGATGACATTGAGCGATTCATGGGTCGCCTACAGCAAACGGCCGAGGCCCAGGGCATTCTGGACCAAAGAAACAAAAAGAAGAAAAGCAAGAAGAGCAAAAACAAGGCAGACTTCAATGGTAGGAAGACGTCGTCTAACCTCTGAGGTCGGCTGAAGAATAGCCCACAGATTCAGGCCAAAAGGAATTTAATAGAGCAACACAGACTGTCAGCAGGATATTTAGGTGGCAAAAGCTTAAAGATGTCTGGTGAAAGACGGTACTGCAGCATTCAATATTCAGGATGCCGTGGTCAACTCGCTGTTGTTTTGCTGTTAGCAAGCAAGATTTAGTTTGATGTGTAAAATGGTTTAAAACTTGAATTCTGTTTTAAATGAAACTTTTCAGCACAGCCATCAAATATGATCTTGTAGGAAGCCAACACTCAGAGGCTAAAGAGTCACATGGGGCTGTGCGTTAGAAGTCAGAAGCAGAGCGCAGGTCAGCTTTAACTTTGGTTGATGTTTTGTGCAGATGATTTGTTGACCATGAAAGCCTGCCCTCCAACAGAGGACGAATTTGTCAACATCTTCCAGAAATTCAAGTATTCCATCAGTCTGCTGGTGAGAATGTCACCCACAAATGATGGATGAATGTATAAAATTATACACTCGTGATTTTTCATCACGTACTGTTCTGTTCAGGATCGTCTTAAGTCGTCCATCGTTCAGCCTAAGGCTCAAGACCTGCTGCACTGCATCTTCGTACCTCTCAAGCTAGTAAGACGAAGTAAATGTTTAATTTAGTGTTTCTTTCTGTCACAGCGATGAAGACAATCCTGTTTTTTTTCTTTTTTTTTTTAATCTCACAGATGGTGAAAACTACTGGAGGCCCAGACTTGGCTTCTTCAGTCTTAAGTCCTGCTATGACCAGTGGTGCTGTTTCAATGCTGCAGGAACATCTGACCCAGGAGGAAAAGGATCTGTGGACATCATTAGGGTCCAACTGGACTTCCTCCTGGTCAGTGTGTTCACCGACACACGTGTGTAGATCAGAGTCTGAGTTTATGATGAGGGGCTAACTGTGAACTTTTTTTTTGTTTCTTTTGTTTTTTAGTGCAAGTCTTAATATCCCTGTCCCTCCATACTCTCCCGTCTTCCTGGATGGATGGAAGCCTGTGACCCTTGACTCAAGCGGCCAACCTCTGGAAGATCCCATAGAGATGCAACACAAGCAGGAAGCCTTCAAGAAGAGGATGGAGCTTCACAATGTACAGAAACTAATTCAACAACCAGTGGTTCCTGTGGAGAGCACTGAGGAGGTGTAAGTTCTAGAATTTTGACTCGTAGAGGGTATACACGCCACCTACTGTTCGACACCACATTCTTAAATAACAGTGGGTCATTTCAGAGATGGTAACTGTCTGCTACCAGAGGGTGAGAGATTCTACTGCTGCAGTTATGATTTTGTGGCTAGAAACAGTAGCGAACTTTCTGTCATGCAAGGAGAAACACTCGAGGTAAATGATCAGACTCAACGCCCACCGTTGACAAATACACATGTGTATATTCACTTCAATGCAAATCTGTTTTTTTTATATATATATGTATCTGCTCTGTAGGTGCTGGAGTCATCAAAGCGATGGTGGAAATGTCTGAATCGCTTTGAGCAGATTGGCTTTGTTCCCTATAACATCCTGGAACCTCTGTCTGCTCTGAACAACACAGACAGGACCAGTGCAGTGGTCCGCAGAGAGACAAAGGTACGGGGCCACGCTAACGGTACCCACTCACACACAGCACACAGTCTGTGGGTTACTGTCAATACAACGCTCTTCTTCCCCAACAGACTGCTCTCACCCCACGGACGAGGTACTTTTCTTACGCTCCATCGAGTTCAGACGCTAACAGTCCTACAGCTACAAGTCCAACGCTGCGCCCTCAGAGCATGATTTTACCTTCAACAGTCGTAGAGGACACCGACAGAGGTAACATGGGTGACATGAACAGGGGAGGAAATCTGTCTACAAGCCCTGACTGTATAGGGAATGTCAATTATAAAATTATATTTTGGGGAGAATTTTTAAATGTTAAAAAATAACATGTCAAGCCCTGTGTCTGTTTGTGTGTGTAGTTCTCATAATGAACGATGAACTACGGCAGAAAATAGCTGGGAGAAGAGGTGCAGGACGTCCGACTGTTGCCCACCGGACGTCTGACCCTGCTCCCTTAAATTATCACTCACAAGTGGCGGAGGTGAACGACTGGCTCCAGGCTAAAGGCTTCAACCAGCAGTGAGTGTCAAGCAGGTTTACCTGGAACCTAAACTACACTACATTTAACTTTTAATTTATGTAAGAGAGATAAAAGGTATATTGAATGTTATTGTATGAATGATGATCGATGAGTTGGTGAGAGTTGGTAAAATGTTGGGAATTCACACAATAAAAAGGTAGTTTACATAACCTCTCTTATTGCTCTTCTTTTTGACCAATCAGAACAATTCAGAGTTTCGGAGTTTTAAATGGAGCGCAGCTGTTTTCCCTGACCGAGGAGGAGCTGAGTACAGTGTCCCCAGAAGACGGTGCCAGAGTTTACAGCCAGCTACTGTTGCAGAAAGCTGTTCTAGAGGTTTGTCACGGATGTTTACGGTGTGTGTGTGTGTGTGTGTGTTTATAGTCCATGCGTCATCAGCCATTTGTTTGCTAAGCCTTGGCCTATGTGCATACTTACGTCATTTTAGCACTTGTCTTTGACCTACATTAGCCAGAGATTTTTATTCGTCTATTTACAGTTCCAAAATACACAGTTCGATTCAATGGTTGAAGTGAAGTAGAGATCTGATGTTTAAGTATCTTTCCATGTAGCATTGTGTCATAAAATAGCTGTAACTTCACAGAATTGCTTTAAATTAGCAACAATCTTAAAACTACAACAGAGGCATCGCATTTGAACTAAACTGAGAGTCAACCATACAGGCTGAGTACATAAAATATTTAGCATATTTTTCATATTGGTCGGATTTTTTAAAATTATTTTTTCACTTGACTAATTGCATCGTCCTCCTCAGGACGTGCGTAAAGCATCAGAGATGGAGAATCAGAAGCAGAAGATGAAATGATGAAGTGAAGACTTTGACTGAAGCCACCACAGAAGAACCAAAGATCAGTGGACATGAAAATGTTGGCAGGAGAGACAGAACCACAGACGGGGGTCTCGATCAAACTGTCTCTTCTGTTACAGATTCACTGTTGTGAAAACTATTTATCAATGTAACTATGGAAATGCAACTGCTGCAAAAATCTTCTTTTGATGAGGTTTTCAAACTTTTGTACATTTTTTTTCTTCCAAAAATATAGTTGAATAAACATATGGTATGAAGCCAATACTCTGATAATCATTTTCATTTGTTAATGTCATTACATAAAGACACATTTCACAAAAAAGATAAAATCAAAATCTATTAAGACAAAAGCTGCAAACATCAAACTTAATGTACAAACAATCCAGGGTTTCCAAGAATTGCCATTACACAGAAAAGCAATAAGAAGAAAAAATACTTCAAATAATTATTTTTATTCATATCACGCGTAACGTGAGAGTGACGGCTCAAGACGTTATTATCACTGTGATGAACAAGTCATGAAACCCGTGTCAGTTCAAGTGTAATGTTTACACTGTAAACAGAAAGAATTTAATATGAATCAAGCCACTGTTTATATCTTAACATTTCTTGACATTTGCCCTTTCACACATATATAATATTCCACTTTCTGTACACAAATAGAATAAAGTAATGTATTCAAGAAGAATATCAAAGCTATGAATGTATAAATGAAGAAATTCAAGTATCATTTAAAAAAAATCTTTGATGCATAGAGACAACCCTGTTTGATACCATTAGTTAAATAGCAATAATAATAGCATTCTTTTTCCCCCATGTTATCGTTCCTTTTTCTTTTAGTTTTATTATCATTAATATTTATGGTTTTAATTGACTTCCTGAGAAAAACTTTTGTTCCAGTTTTAAAGGCACCTGACATGACAGGTCACATGACTCGTCTATTTACACATCTATGGAATGTTTCATTTCAGTTGCACTTGTACAACAGCTGGGAACAAACCAAAAATAAACCTTCAGTTGACAGTTGATGATGTCATCATTATTTTTGAAACTTTTTTTTTTATAACATTTGGGATTACCACTAACATAAACTCATAATGTTTAATATAAACTGCTATTTTACAGATTATGGTCCAAGACGTGGTGATTTATGTAAATCTTTACTTTTGAATCAATACTTGGTTCAGTGTTTTTGGTTGATTGTAGTCAAACCGTTAGAAGAGAGGAAGAACAGCAGGAAGGAACTTACTGATTCTCACTTTATTTAACTCAGTCCTCATGGTTCACAGAGGCTGGTCCGGTCACAACACTCCCAGGTCACGAGATCCTCTCCCTGAAACCACAGCTTGATCTCCCTCTGAGCTCCTTCCAGGGAATCACTGGCATGTACCACATTCCTGACAAGAGACAGCACACAAATAACAGATTCACAAAATGCAATTATCCAACAGCAGCAGTCCTGAGGATCTTGTATGATCCTAGTACCAATCGAAGTTTTTTTTACCTGCTGACATGCGTTCCATAATCTCCCCTGACTGTGCCTGGGCTGGCGTCGACTGGGTTAGTGAGTCCCACCATGGAACGTGAAGTCTGGACCACATTGTGACCTTCCCACACCTAGGAGAGGAAAAACTATTTCCCATCTGTAGCAGTTTTTGTTCTGTGTTTTCTGCACAGGAGTACTCACCATGACGACCACAGGTCCTGAGGTCATATACTGCAGCACACTGGGGTAGAAGGGTTTCGCCCTGAGTTCACAGTAATGCTGAGCCAGGAGGTCATCAGACACCTTCACCGCAGCCAATTTAGTTTAAAAACAGTTTAAAACTCAACAGTCAGATGTGGTTGCCAGTTAGAGATCGACGGATTTGTATGGTTAAAGCTTCTACAACATACCCGCATCATTTTCAGACCAACCAGCTTGAAACCACGCTGCTCAAACCGCTGGATGATTTTCCCGACGAGACGACGCTGCACTCCATCAGGCTTCACAGCAATGAGAGTCTGCTCCGTCAGATCTGGTGCACCTGGTAACCCATGAAGTGACGTCATAACATAACATTACATGTCACATGAAAATCTATACCGTAAGGTGCGATCATCATATTCATAAAATCACATAACAATGTATGCCATGGTACGTAACGTAACTCAGGGTAGAGTAACGTAATTTAGTAAAGCGTGACGTCATTTACACCCTTAGGGTGCAGATATAACGCAACAAAACAATGTCATCAAGTGGATAATTCCTTATACTGGGTTCACGCGCGCGCACACAGCAAAGTTAAAAAGGCACATCAGGACTTCTTGTGGTTGGCTGCAGTTGCGCACGTGGTCTAATGAACAACTGCTTGGGATCAGTTAAATGCACATGATCCTCCACCAGAGGAATTCTACAAAATGTCATTTAAATGAGTAACGGCCGACAATCGGTGTCGGACAAACGGTTTGGCTTTCGTGCTATGGATGGTTCTGCGCATTGTTTACCAAATTATGCAACATTTTTGGCACTGTTACGTACGACTGTTCATTTACGCTGCGACTTTATCATCACGCACACCATCATCACCGTCACCAACATCCCTATCTTTGTACTTTTAACCTGGTTTTAGTTCATGACCCCGCGAAGTTTGGCAGTAGAACTTGTTTGTCTCAAATGAAGCTGTTAGGACAGGGACAGATACACGTCTGAGGTAAAGTCCTCCAAATGTCAATTATGTAAAGCCACCATGAAAGATATACATTTTACAAATGTTTAAACATACTTGTCCTGCAATTGATTGAAAAGACTAAAGTTTTTTTAAAAATATTTGATGTCTCTATTGTTGCATTTTGATTCCAGCATCAATTCAAAACATTTAAAAAAGTCACAAGACACAAATGTCAGAATTGTTTCCTGTTACTTACTGGACGTATTCCTCTGTCCAGCAGCTGTGGGTCCATTCAGCAGGCTGGTAGGAAAGACAGACAGCAGTCCTTTGGTGGTGTCCTGGTGCCTTGAATGGACTGCTTGGATGAATTTCTTGAAGATGCATCTCTGCAACATGATCATGGTTTGAGAGTCGGCAGTCCCACCAGGGAGAGAGAGAAAAGTCAAGTCTGCTCAATCAAAACCCACGAGTTTTGCATCCATCCCCCTGACTGTGTGTCTGTCCCACTTGATTGTCTGTCACACACACACACAAACACACACACGTTTAACTCTACTGCTGCCAGGCCTGTCTCGTCCATGATCCCTTATTTCTACTAGAAAACATTTAAAAATTAAACCACAGGTTTGTCCAGGCATATTTAGCCAATAATGAAACTAGTTAAGTTGCAGTAATTACACCGACTCATTACAACTACTGAACTAAGATTATAAAGCAATTCTAAAGCTCTCGTAAGTTTGTTTTCACAGATGTCTCACCTGTCCACAAGTGGATTATGTCAAGAGCTGTCAGAAAAATTAAATGTCAGGAAAACAGCAGACTTTCAATGTGAACATTCACCGACAACACAGAAGATGCTTTATCTTGAGTGTTTAGGTCAAGCAAGTCGTGAATACATTTGTGTGATTTCTTCAAAGGAACCTTCAAAGGAAAGGGGACATTTTTGTATTAGTCATGTTTGTTTCCTCATCTGTCACAAAGTTGACACTGGAAATCCTCCTATGACAAACTCAATTCTTTGTACACTAGACCAGTGGTTCTCAAACTTTTTATACTCTGTACCACCTGAGGAAACATTGAGCTCTCTGAGTACCACCATGATGACCAACGTTAGAATATAGCAGCGTAGGCCTTCACTGTTAGCTTCCACCGCACAGGAGAGACGTTAATAAATGTTTATAAAGATGTTTATGTTTAAATGTTGTATTAATTGTGAATGGCATGTTTCAGATTCAATTGAAAATGTATATGTGAAAATATGACTAATCCAACTGTGGTTACAAGGCTCAACACACCCGCTGACATTGGTCCTGTACCCACTAATCAATAGTGGCCTGCAACAGGCTTTCATTAAAAAGAATCAAATGTGCAGGTTGAAAATTGTGACACGTACTGATAAAATAGCATGTACATACATATTAAAAAAACACCTGGCTTAAAAAAACACTTTTATTTATTCAAGCAGATTTTCTCTGTTTCAGAATGGAATGATATGAAAGACCTTAAGTTGAGTCCTTCTCCTTTGGAGATGAAAAAAAAAAAAAAAAAAATTAAAGGCAAAATGAATTCAAAGCAGACATTTTTTAAAAACTCAAAATGAGTTGAAAGTGCTCAGTCCCAGCTCGGCTGTGGAGCAGAGGTGTGGGAGAGAAGGCCGGGCTCAGACTGCCTCAGGTCTGGGCCAAAGCCGACTGCAGACCGTGTTAACATATATTGCCAAAATCTCCATTGGCAATACACAAGGAGGGCATTTCTGTATCAACAAAATATAGCATGCCAACCTTCTACAGTAGAAATAAAAGAAAACATCAGCAGCATCCTCATTCTCTGGTAACTCAAACATTTTAAAAGTTTGTTCCTCCCTATCAATCTGAGAAGGCAGAATGCCACTGTGACGGAGGAGTGTTGGGCAAAGTGGTCAGCACTCAGTGATCACAGGTGATGTGTGGAGTGGTTGTGACAGTGGTTGTGCTATAGTTTGATGGTACCAGTGGGCAGGCTACTGTTACACAGTCTGTAGTAGCGAAGGTCATTCACCAGCCGCTGGACACTCTGTGTGAATGAAGGAAGGTCCTGGACAAAGAAGAGGAACAGTTAAACAGGAATATTCCTTAAAAGAAGAGTTCAGATGCCAAAGAGACAAAGTTTCTATTGGCTTTTCTTAGTAATATCTAGCAAAACTGGCCTTAAGGTTGATGAACTGTGGAAAACGTTCCACAAACAATGCAAGTTAAAATGGTTAGCTTTGTCTCCCTCTAGTGTGAAAGATGTGCAAGTAGCTGGGAAAAATTCCTGTATTCATTCTTAAGAAATTATCTCCAAAAAGTATTATTCTCTTTTTACCTGTTCAAGCTTGAAGTTGCGTGCAAGAACAGCTCTTTGGCTGGTGTCCACACCCTGGCAGCTGTTGAGAAACTCTGGCATGAAGGCGGAGTAGAAGGCATCGAAGTCAACAGAGGCCATGTTGTAAATGGCCAGCGTGATTTCCTCCTGAAGGAGGTCGTGGCTTTTGTGAAGGAGAACCTGCAGCAGCACATTGATGAAGTGGAAGAGCATCGAGGTCCGGAAAAGCTTCTGGAAAAGTGAAAGAAAATTATTTTAATACGTCATAAGTCTTTTTTTTTTCAATAGCTAATACAGATGCTTGTTTGTGTCATATTGAGAAGGCATTTATTTTAATGAAAGTTATGAGGAAGGCATCATTGATCAGTGGAGAAACAGGTTACATCTAACATGTGTCAAATATAATGAGATAATGTTGCCTGGTTACACGGCTGTGCTGCTCTGTGTACACAGTTATATACACATACGTCATGCCGAAAATCAACTCACTCTATGATACAACTTGTGCTTGCTGTTGAGCAACTCCAGATAGGAGAGATTCTGCTTGAAAATGTGAATGTCAGGCTGCAGGAAGGACTGTCCAAAAGCCTAAAACAGATATTTACAACACAAACATTTTTATTAGTGGCTTTAAATAAAAAACAAAAAACTCTTGGACAGAAAATTCTCTACATTATGTATCTGCGGGCAGATTTCAGAGTAATGATAACCACCGTAAAAACACTCACCTGCATTGCAGCTGTAAACTGGGCTTCATTTTCCATAGTTTCCTCAGCAGCTCCTTTTTGAACGGTTATTAAAATTGACGTTTTAAAGAAGTACCTCCAGTTTTGGTGAAGTACTTGGTAAAGTAACTCAAACATCTCTGCCTTGACGTCTGGGGAGGAACGCTGTTAAAGGAGATGAGCATTTTCAATGTAAATTGACATTTGAAAAAACAAAACAAAAATAAACATACACGTACATGCAAATGTGGATATTTACTGCATGTCTAAGCTCCGATACGGAAATAAGAATTGATGTCGAGTCTGTAGAAAGAACTGACCTCTGCTACCACTGGATAGACCTGCTCCATGCACAAGGAGAGGATACTGGGTAAGAAAGGCTTGAAAGCTTGTCCAGGCTCCTGCACGACCACTTGCAGAATCTTCAGAAACTTCTGCACCACCCTACAGCCTGCACTGCCCTCCTGCAAAATACTGGCTGCCAGCTGTTCCCTAGGAGGGCACAGAAGTGACCATTTACAGTCGAGGTCAATTACCTTATTATTATCAAACATTCACTGGAGAAAATATGAAAAACCCTTTACCTGGTAAACATGCTGAGGAAAGTGTGAATGATCTGACCAGTGAAGGCAACACCCATCTGAACTCGCAACGCCTGAAACAGTGTCAAGAAGAAGGCCAGCATCTCATCCGTCACATCTGTGAGAGAAAATTCAATTTGGATGATCAGATGAGCCTTTAAATCCTTGGTGTAACTCATTTTTACAATATCATTTTTATTTAAGATATTTTTTTGTCACAGCACGAATATGCACTTTGCAGGAGTACAACAAAAGTGGTCTACTGATCCACTGAAGATGCAAAGGAGATAAGAGATATGCAAGACAAAAGAGAAATACTGTTTCAAAGACAAGAGTTAAAATATAAAACACTGTTTTTTACAGAATAAAATACACTACATACTATGGAGATGTTAAAAGAGCAGCCACATAAATAATTGCACATTGTATGTTGTATGTGGAGACTGAACATGGTCCAAAAAAAAGCATTCATATAAATAAATAATTTGTTCATTTTTCATTGTACATATTTAATAATTGATGAGCAAACACCGACCTGACTGCTGAATAAACACTGGAAAAAGGCTGAGGGACACTTGGACAGACTCCTGGATGCTCTGATAACAGATCTGGCGTGATTTGGTGGACTCGCCCGAGGCGCTGTCCACGATGTCTCTGAGGACAGGTAGCGTCTGCTGTATCACTGTGGTGAAATATCGATGGACAAATGATAGACATACACATCAAAACAATCACTTTTATATACACACACACATACTGTATATATAAATTACTGACCTCCATCCATAGGAGGCTGACGTGGGGTGATGTTCACAGTCCCTCTTAAACTTCGATATTCTCTGGTGAGGGCTGCCAGCAAGCTGGCGTGGTTGCTGGAGCGTGTTTGCCACTGCTGCTCACTCTCAGGTAAGTTTGGCCACGGCAGCAATAGCATGTTGGACAACGCTCTACACACCAGCATGTGAGCCTTCACGTATGAAGAAAAATGAATTTCAAAATGATCAATTTAAGTTTAAAGCAACCACAGCAAATAAAAGTATTTTGTCTTCCAAACTGAAGTAAAACTAAAAGTATAGGGATGGACTGACATAACTGTCAGTAGCAGAAGTTACAAACAAGTGTTACCTCTTGGGGAAGTCTGCGGGTTCTGTTCTCAGTAGTAATAAGGTTGAAAATGTTTTGAATTGCTGGCAGAGTGACCAGGAACACAGGTCGCACTGTTGATGTGATGGAAACCATCAGATGACACGCCGAGAGCAGCAACTTACCAGGCACCTAAACATTAAGGCAAAAAGAGGAAAATAACATTAATGTAATGTTTGGTAAATGTTAGGCAAAACACCCTCTGAAAAACTCTGACTACACTATGTGTGCTTAGTCATAAATGAACAGCCCTGAGGAGCCAATACTACCATTAACATTTGTAATCACTACAAAATGACAATAGAATGGAGATTGAAGACAACTGATGTTTTATATATTATTTTATATAATTAAAGTGTCCAATAAAACAAATGTTTGAGTTAAGTCATAGGAACAGTTGCAACAAGTAAAGAGGGAAGAAGGGGAGAGCGAGAGAGAGAGAAAGACCAATGAGGGGGTCTACCTTAGATGTGATGAGTGGACTGCTGGCATCTATTGCAGATGTGATGAGGTTGATGAACTGGCTCTGGTTGTGACTGTGGACTTCACTGTAGAACTGTGCGAGCCAATGGGAGTAGGCTTGCAAAGCAGCTAGGGCCTGTGCATGTCTGCATGTCAACAAACAAAGTATTAAACACAGGAAGCACTCACCAGGCAACACAGACACAGTCAACCTGCTTTTTTTTCCCCTCTAGTACCGCTCATATTGCTAGTGAAGTTTAAAGAAAAATTAATGACAGAACGGATAAGACATAATTTTGGTCAAGGTCTGAAATGCAAACATTGTGCTGATCTGACAACAGTTCCTGGGAGGCACTGTGAATAGCTGGGTGCAACAAGCCCATAACAAGTGTCTGTGGCTTCGTACAAGTTGCGAAATTGACCTTAGCATCCTTAATTACACAAACACAATTTGGTCAAGTTCCTCCTCAGATATTCTGCTCAACATTGATGTTTCTGCTTTTCAACATCAACAATACTCACACGTCAGTCAGGTCCGGCTTGAGCACTGAAGGCACAGCGGTCTCCAGGTCGTAAAGGCTGGTCTGAGAGCCGTAACAAGTGACTTCAACCAACCTGGAAGAAGATAAAAAATAAGTTAGAATTACAGGATATTAAACTATCAACCCAATTTAATTAGAACAGAAAGACTTCAGTGTAAATGAAACTGGGCTAAAACTTATTTCAAATGAGACACATCATTTTGTTAGTAAAATAATGAGTGTCAGAATGACAAACCTCTCCACCACAGCCAGAGCGTCAGTGAACCTCGCGGCAAAAACCTCTCCAATGAAGTGCTCGGCCAATCGTCCGACAGCCTGGAGGAGGGAGCTAAGATCCCTGAGAGAACAGTGGAGTCGACGACAGTCGTTCTCTGCTGTGATATTGAGCCTTCGACCTGAAGGATGTAATTAAAACAAATTATTGCCAAAACCATAAATGTCCATGATGAATTCTGATTGTAATGAGTGGCTGGAAGTGAATATACAAATATTTTAATATTTAAAAAACATTCTTTTTGTTTGCACATACTCGTGCCAGTGGTGACGATAAACTGCTGCAAACCCATGTACACGTCCAAATTTTCTTGCAGAACAGGAAACTTGATAGGAAAGACAAAGAAGAAAAGATGGATACATTACTTTTTTTTTCTTCCAACAAAAAGAGTATAGTTATTTCTTCTTTCCCAGCAGGGGATGCTGTAAATGCAGTCTGAACCAATTCAATTAGGTCGACAATATAAAACATCTTAATGCTGTCTTAGTGCTGTCTGGAGTTCAAGCATCTGTTTGCATGCTGTATCTCTTACCAGAGTGGAAAAAGCATGGGATGGGAGGAGTTCCATCACCTTGGCAACCACCTCCAGACTCTGACGCAGGTACTTCTGCCACTCTGTCTGTTTCTATGGTAACAACATGAAGTACAAAATGAAGCTGTTGGAGTGAGAGCAATAGAAAATTTCACACTGATAGCAAATCCTGGACATAAACACAGTCTTACATCGTCATCCAAAGTCTCATCATCCAACTCTTCAAGCTGTGCCTGGTTGTATCTGAACTGTATGCGGTTTAAAACTTCTCTTAAAAGAAGGACTAAGGCATCTTTGTACCTGCATTAGAGAGAAATTCACAATAAATTAAAATTAACTTTATCTGAATATGAAAATAAATATACATCTAGTAATCATAAAACATACAGTGGTATCATTACAGGATCATACATTTAGTCTTTTTTTGACTTACCTATTCAGGAGACTGTCTCTATCTGCTAGTCTGCTTTTGATTTTGGTTGTTAAAAAATCTAAAAACACCGTCCAAATATCCAAGCAGGAAAAGTAACCTTCATGGGTTGGCTGAAAAAAAATAATTAAAAATGAAATTTACAAAACAAATACATAACTTTGTTTTACTTTACAGGGAAATTAACTGAAGAAACCATTGATAATATTACCTGGTTGAATGTGTACTTGAAAAGCAAAGCAAGAAACTCTACAATTGGAAACTGATGACTGGACTCGATCCGCCTCAAGTGAACACTGACGAAGAGCCGTAGGAAATCTGTGAACTTTTCTAAATAACTAAGAAAGAAAACATTTAAAGATTATGTATAAACATAATATAAAAATAACATATAAACATATATTTATAGTTATTTTTTCGTTTCCTAAACTGTGAATTAGCACAGTTCATAGGTCATAAATAAATCATAAATAAGTCTACACAAAAACGCTGAGAGACTATACCTTTCATCAAGTTCCTGCAGGCGAGTTTTGACAGAATGTGCATTGTTGTCTCGTGTTAGCCTTTGCAGGAGGAAGAAGGTCTGCTGGAACATCCGCAGCAGGTACTCCTCAAAATCCATTGGCACACAGTTCTTTGACACCAATTCATTGACACAAGTCATGGCAAGAACACCCAGCCTGGCACGAGCCGCTTTGCTCGTCTCACTCTGCTGTCCATTTCTCTCCCCACCATTTGATGTGGGTCCTATTGTGCCAGGGTTGAGCTGACCATTAGAGGTGGAAGAGTCAGAGGAGATAAAAGATCCTGACTTGGCTTTGGGCTGTATGTCACAACCAAAACGTGCAAAATAGAAAATGGATGCTAGCAGGTTGGGTGTGATGCTGGTGGACAGAGGAATCCAACTAAACAGGTGGGCTAAACACTCCAGAACAAGACAACAGAGCTGCTGGCTCTCACTGTCCAATGTTGCCATGGGTTGACACAACAGCTTTGAGTACTGGCTACCCTGAAATAAACTGCCCAGCAATTCAACTGGAGGATCAAAAGACAAAATAAAAAAAAAACATGGTTACAATTCAAACAACATCTGTCTGTAGTTTGAAGGTACTGCAGGTAAATACACTCACCAGTTTCCCCTGAGGTGGGTGAGGGAGGTGGGGTTGAGGCTATAACACTGTGCTTGTCCCAGTAAGTCTCCAGGATACCTGGGAAACAGAAGGACGCAGCCAGAGATAGCTTATATATACTGGAAAGGCGCCAATGAAACAAGAGGTTTATTTCCATACACCGAGGTGGATACCATCGATCACATAATGAATTAGAACTAGGGCTGTCAAACAATGATTTAAAGTTTTGTTTTTAATCAGGATAATTGCACATAGAAAAATAATGCTTGTTCTCACCAGTCAAAAGTCCAAGTACAGCTGGGACCTGGTCCAGAAGCAGTTTACGCAGCTCATCCTTTCTGGCAACACTCAGATCTTCCCGCGGACATGCAAGTTCTTCTGATGTCGTCTTCAACATCACCAAACCCAAATGAGCCAATGCAGGTGTCTGGATTAACTGTGGCAGCAGAAAAGGAACAAGAAGATAATTGGTCATTTTTGTACATCTATTGAATGGTAGGAGTGGGCTACACTGTACTGCCCACAGGAAGTGGGGCAGTTTTGGTAGTTGTTCAATAGAACACAGCAAACCTCTAATCACAAGCCCTTATTGCTTACAAGCTCTTACTAAGTGAAATTCCCACCACATAAAATAAACAACACCACAAACACACCGAGTTACAGTAAAGAAGAAAAAGAGTATGCAGTGCTCCAAGGTAGCTCCTTTATAAAATGTCAAATGTAGTTCATTTGTGTTCAAATGTACACATTTGAACACAAATGTGTTCAAATGTGTACATTTCCTATGAACCATAGGAAAGAACCTTTCCTATGGTTCTTTGAACACTGACAAAGAACCATAGGAAATCTGAACTTTTCCAAATAACTAAGAAAGGAAACATTTAAAGATTATATATAAACATAATATAAAAATACTAACTATATATACATATAGTTATTTTTTTACAAGTTTCCTAAACTGTGAATTAGCACAGTTCATAGGTCATAAAGAAATCATAAATAAGTCTACACAAAAATGATGAGACACTGTGTACCAACAGACTCCTCTGTCTCGAAGACATATTACACTTAAGAAAACAATAAAGATATTCATGAGAAAATGTTTGGCTAATATTCATATTTTACAAACCGTACTCTGTCAATGTAAGAGATAAGTTGTGTTAAAAGAGCAAACAGTATAAATTAGCAAGTTGTCAATAGTGAAGTCATTTTTTCTTCTACTTTGACCTGCTCAGCTGCTCGCCACTATATATATTTACATAAAAATATGTCTGTACACATACATGTGTATATATATATATATATATATATTTTTTTTTTTAAAACAGCACTGGGTAGGTATGGCTTATATGAAGTAACTTAACAATAATTGTGGCCTTTACACAGTGCAATTTTATTTCCATTAACAGAATTAGGGCCTACCTGAAGTGTGTTGGTAAAGAAGTCGTGATAGAACATTGGCCAGTCCTGTCGACCGATGTCCACGATGACTTTGCAGAGTTTGTTACGAATAAAATAGGGCACAGTTTTGTGCTGAGCAAGCAGGAGTTTGGGCAGACAGGTGCGAATCTCCATCTTATCTTGTGAAGCAACACCGATCCACATTTTATTCACCAGGTTCTGAATAAGAAAGGTGAGAATTATGATGTCATTATAAAGATGTAAATAAACCAAACACGTCGTCTAGAGTGATGCTATTTTGCAATTTTTGAATTGTTTAGCACACCAAAATCAAACTAATAATGCATTTATCAGGGCAGACACATTAAACTTACTTCAAATACTGTGAGGCTGTACATCATCACATACTCATTCCGAGTATTGGAGAGGAAGAACAAGCAGTGGCGCCACGCTCCGGTCTGCTGTGCAAAGTTGTTCAGCAGCTCTTCTGCAGAAAAGGAAGTAGGTAAGATCAGTGGTGGTTAATGAACATGTAGTTCTTGCTGAAAGTGTGTTGTAAAATGTGTCACGAAGTAGGAAGTGTAAGGAAAATGTAAAAGCATGAACATGCACAAACTCAGAAGCAACATTTTAGGTCAGGTTTTTAATACATCTACTCCCAACATTCCTTCATGGCCTTGAATAATTCTAATCTAAAACCTTTTCTTATGAAATAAATGTTTCTAGCTGTTTTGTGACATTTTTTATTTTTCAAAAGATTAGATGGATCAATTTCTAGCTCTTTATGAGCTAGGTCAAACTTACCTATTTCTTTCTTTCGTTCATTGGTCGTGCAGTTGTGAAAGAATTCCGTCATGAGATTCTCCAGGGCTCGCAGTGATGACTCCTCAGAAGCCTGGTGAGAAGAAATTGAAAATGGTCAAATTCCACTACGGTTAAAAGTTGATTAATTTCTGAAATCTTGCCATCAACAAATCAATTGTATTTTTTTTCCCAACCTAAAAACATTAAGATTAAATTAAACTTCATTGATGCCACAGTGGGCAATCACCATGTTGCAGCAACACAAAAATATAGAGAATGAAAGGAACAATTCACAATGAGACAAGTTCACAATGTGAAATAAAACTAATAATATTAATAAAACTATAAAATTGTCCATCCGATTTAAATATGATTTGGCTTATTTGTTTTTCTAATACAGCAGACAACAAAACAAAACTATAGCGGCAGATCAGAAATTGTAAATTGTGCAATAAGCATGAGATAAGGATGTACAGGAAATGGCAGACATCTGAGGATAAATGCTGCTCGTCTGTTTATCTATTACATAATAGTACGTTATGGTACCAAAAAGCAACTGTGTCCAAGTTTAGGGCGTGTTTACTAATCATTAACCAAGATGCACAATAAGGGTTGAACTTCCAACATGATTTGCCTATTCATTTGCTTGTTATCAAGCAAACGCCTACATTCTACTACATTCTTAATGAGGCGAAAACATTCAGGAAATGTCAAATCCATCTCATTGCTCCAGACGACAATCGGTGCAAATGCACAGTATGTCACCAACACACAATTTAAAGAATTTGACAAACATTAACGGCACGCCAGTGCATTTCGGTACGCATGTGGATATCAATCCGTCAATCTGTCTGATTAAGGTTATAGGTGAATTTGTAAATCGATAATTATGCTACGCCTTGACAGGTAGGGGGAAGTGGGAGGGTCCTGTTCGAAAAAATAAAGTACAGTAAATTGAGAGTTTAAAGATCAGCTTCGGTGGCAGAAGGCGGGTCTGAATTCCTCAAATAAGCCACAACTTGCCGAGGCGCAACAAGACTCAAGGCAAAAATATTCACCTCAGTAAGATGGGCGTCTCGTTTGGTGTAATGGCTTTATGAGCTGTCACATCCATGAAGGGACATTTTTTATCCTCTCACAAACCGTTATGTGGATAAACCAGAACACAGAAACGTGTGTAAAAAATACAAACGACTTGTTATTAACAATGTACTGAAGAAAAGTGAAATGCAAGATTCCGGTGACGTTAGGTCTTCCTGTTGAGTCAAAATCCAATTACACCACATTGGCTGTTATCAAACAAAGAGTAAAAAAATAAAATGTTCAGGTGTGATATGGTATGTGGTACTTACCATCTTAAGATGCTCAGTCGGTTTTAGTTTCTATAGTCTCGGCTTAATATGGCATTAATGAGACAACATTAGCTTGATGATTAGCTGTTCTGTAGCTAGCAAAAGCTACAGCGTTGCTGTCCATTCTCTATCATCGCGGGTTGCAACGCACAGTCTACGAGAACTCGTGTCTCCTCTTCCAACGACTACAGTCAACTCTATCTCGATTAAATCTCTTCGATCCTAAAATGCATTTCCGCAAATGGAGCAGACCGACTAACACTAAACTAGCTTTCTCGCACCCATTCGTTTAGGTACACTTTCATATAACTACCTTTACCGTTAAGTTAAAAAAATAATTCTTGCTTTGCCTGACAAATAACACTGGCACCAACACTGCAGAAGAATGCACTTTTTAGTAGCTGTTACTGTTAGTATTTTCGAGGCGAATGATGGTTGCTAACGCTGCAGCAGCGGATGGCTAACTCGTTAGCTATTCTAGAAGGATGAAGGCATCATTTTTGGTTAGCTTACTGTCAAAGCCAAGACATGCTTTCATGGCTTTTTGGTTACGACAACTACCTTTAAGCTTCGTAATTTACAACCGAGTGACGCTGCATACCTAAGTTGTACAGCTGAAGAATTGCGGTAGATTTTAAAACATATTACTATACGCGCAAGTCGTTGTTATTCCTTCTTACAGTGTTTAGGGCGGCTCGAAATTAAAGCTAGCTCACAGGTTTACTGCTTCGGATTCGCAACTTCCTCTTTTACAGCAGAAATTAACCAACCCAGTGCGTTTCTGTCAAGTGACCTTTGGAACTAAAAGAGCCATTTCCGATTAGGCCTTCAAACAAAAATACGTTATTGAGCATGACGTTAATAAAACAGAAATTAGTATTATTGTATAAAATATTCCAGATGACTAATACAAATGTACAAATAAAACAAACCGGAGAAGCAGGTGATTAATTTTATTAAAAACACAAGCATGATTATTAGTAGATAAGACAATGCAAATTTCTCATTATAGCTGAAATATAAATAATGTGTCATGGGAGAAGATTTTTTGCAAAAACCAAATACATTTGAATGCACTCAACACTTTTAAAATAATTATCAGAAAATTTAAAATACATGTGAATATTTAAAAGAGTTGTTTACATGTTTTTTGCAATTGTATTAATGAAACATAAGTATAAATACTTAGATGTAACTTTGTCATTCCATCATCAAATGCTGTTTGATAGTTTGAACGCAAAAATCTGCCACACACAGAACTTGAAAAAGCACATCTAAGGTACAAAGCTTATTTGACCACCAAACACAAAACTAAAAATGATTTTAACTTGTTCTTAACGGTGGTAGAAGAGGTAGAAAAAGTTATTGGTTGGTATTTTCTCAGGTCTTCAGAATTATCCCAGGGCATTTGCTAATTCTCTCAGGAAACTTGATTGTCGAAATCCAGTGTTGTTGCACTTGCTGAAAATCATCATTTTGCCACGCTTTGTTTTGCAAAGTTTTTTTGTCTTTGTGCTTGCATGCTGTACGCCCAGGCTCGGTCCACACCCTGACCCTCAATCCTGCAGGGTTTCCAGTCAGGGAAAGGAAAACGTCCAGCTACCACTAAGGCATCATCAGGAAGCTCAGCCTGCAACTTTTCTTGCAATAACGACAGCTTAGAACAGAGGGGCAAAATAAACACTTGTTAGCATAGTCTTTCTACATATTTTTAACAAGTAAATAACAAATGTGATGGGGCTCTAAAAGTCAAAATACACAACTTTGCACTACTTAGTACTTCCTGTTGTTACAAATACATAAAGGCCAAACGTGTTTCATGAGCCTATTTACGAACCCACCTGAAACCCTTTTGGTGGCTACACTAAAACACCACTTTAGTTTGAGGCCTTTGGGGACATGCTCATTACAATACTCACCACACTAGGAGCCAAAAACACTGTGACATTCTTGCATTTTGTCAGGTCGACCTGTAATGAGATACAGTAAAAAAAATAGAAATAATTTTAGTATTAAAATATATTTAAAATGTTGATACTGATAAAAAAAAAATTCAAACCAAGTGTCTATATATGTCAAAATCATAAAATAATTAAATAAGGTTTCTTGTTAAAAATGCAGTCAGCACCTTAACCAATAAAACTGCATATAAACTGCGTACTGAGTATAGTCTTTTCAAATTGGCTGGTCAACCATGTTGGCACAAAAGTCAATTAACAACAGAAGTGGAAATTGTCGAACCTTCCAGAGGTCTTCTCGTCGATATGAAACTTTTTCATGATGACCTAATTTCCATGCATGAAAACGGGAAAGGCGTATAAGCCAAGGGTTGAGCTCGTAGCCTACAGCTGGAGCAAAACCTCGCCGATGGGCTTCCAAAACCTTAAATTACAAGATGACCACATTAAAAAGCATATGATTTCCTAGTTTAAGATCAAAACATATGTGATGACCATACTCACAATGCGACCATCACCGGAGCCTAAATCTACAAAGCCTCCTTTACGGCCTTTTAATAACGCCATCACATTTTCTACTTGAAGTTTGCTTGCAGGAATGTATGGGACCTAAAAAAGAAAGAGATACATTTCTTGCCAACACTTGAGATTGTGATGTGTTTAGGACATGTCACCCTTACCTGTAACTTCAAAGGGACTTTTCGGAATCCAGGCTGAAGGATCCCAACCCACATGGCATATACAGCAAGGCCTGTGCCAGCAGCTATCTGTGCAACACCCCAGAGTCCAAGCTGCCCATTCTTGAATTCAGAAAAGCCCTCTTCTGGTGTATTATCGTCCATCTTTGCGTTGATTATAATATATGATTGTTATAAAGAACAAATGTACACAGATAGGCAGAACATAGTAAATCTGCAGTATTTCAATCGAATTAAAAAGTGGTAGAAATAATTTAACAGCCTATACTTATCGGACTATTCAGTTGATGTAAATTAATTATGCAATACGTGCAACGTCATAATTTCAATATGTAGGGTTTTGTATTAATCCAAATGTATAACTGTTGTACCTCTGTAACAGTCGTGTTGTACTATACGTTGCAGGCTCACGGTCAAAAGCGCGTCCTATTTATATCCAGTTAGTTATGTCGAGGTTCAGTTAAATGCTTTACCTTTTGTATTTAAAAATACAATACACGTTCTGTCACGCAGACGTAAAACACATCTCAAGCGTAATATAAGTAAATCACATTAAAATAAAACGAACATGGTCGGAACCAACGGACAATTCAGCCTGAAACACCGGTCCGTCACTGAAATGTTCCGCGTTTCATAACGCGCTTACATGTGTTCCATGTTAGGACACTTTTATTCAAAACAACAGCGTCTCCGTTATTTACAAATATTCAAGCTAGTAACAGAGATATGAGGATGAATTGCACTTAATTACATTTGAACACATTAAATAGCAAAACAAGATTTTAGTGTTAGATTTAGTTTGAAAAACATCTCTCTGCTTTAGATAGTAGAAATTTGTCAAATGTAGTTAAACTTACAAGTCGTACTACTTACTAACGACCAACAAATAAAAAACTTAATTGACTTTATCCATTTATTTGAAAAACTTTATTTGTAAAAAATATAAGTATATTTTTTCATAAAAATATTTTAATCTTTTTGACAAGTCTTGTAATGAAGCAATATCAACATTACTATAAATATTCTTAATATCATAATAATACCCAAATATGTAGTCTACTCTATTAAGAATCTGAAAGTAGGAGAGGAAGGGGCTACATCAGTCACTTTCCGCATCATCACTGATGATTCCTCGTAAGTTGTCCCAGTCTGTTGTTCTGCTCTGACCTTTGTTTTTATTATTTTCCTGGTCACTGTCAGAGCCAGAGTTCAATGTCCGCCTGTATGTAGGCTCGTTAGATTGCCAATCCACAGAGGCTGCTCTGCGTGTACGACGACCTGAGAGAGAATTGTGAATATTAGTGTCATCTCTAATAACACATTTACAAAAGGTACGGTAATGTAACATCAGTGCAACACAACCCTAAACACCAGTCATTGACATTGCTTTACCTACTGTGTAAATGACTTGGTTATCATTATATTACGCAAGACATGAAGGATGTCAGATACATTGAGTAGTCACTATATAAGGTATATTTACCTTGACATACAAACCACCTTTATATATATTCATATTTACAAACTAGTAAATGTCCAAAAAATATGTAGAACTATGTGACTAAACCAATGGAAATGTATTTTCTATGTTTGCCAACATGCTTAGAAGAAATTACATTGGATTCAGTGATATTTAGTGTAGTCTCATGTATGTACATCATTCAAAGACAGGTTACTGTGTCAATTTATATGTGGTTAACATGCAAAAAGAAGGACATTTGCCTTCATTGTGAAACTGCGTTAATGAATATTATGATTACCTTATATTCAACAGAAAACAATCGAGTTGGCAACAAAAGAAAATACCTTTTTTGGCAATGATATTCCCCACGTCAAGTTCAGCAAGTTCCTGTGCCTCCTCCCTCTTCAGTCTGGCACGTTTACATTTCGTAATAGATGGAATACCTTTATGAAAACACATGTTCACACAAACACATCCCTGCTTTAGCACATTTCCGTAATTGCAACATATGGTGGTTTTTACCCAAAAAGCATTGTTGAAAGAAAAACAAATAAGACAAATTAAAAAATGGGTTGTTTTATATTGGGTGTTTGTTTCTGTTTTTTTTTATTTAAATGGTTGCTAATGTGTGCGGATTTAGAAAGTTGGTGCATCATCACTAACCATGGACTCCAAGATTTTCAAGCTCTTTCTTTAGAACGTCCACCATAGACTTCGCAGTGGGACAGTCACTCAGGAGCTTCTTAAAATTTCTCCTCACACCACAGAGAGAGATGTAATGTTTCAGTCTCACAACTGTTCTTTCCCCCTGCAGATGAGAAGATACCACACTATTAGTGTTAGGTTAAGACTGAGCTTTTCAGCTATCCATCCTGCACTTTCTCTCGTAATATGATTCAAGGTGCAAACAATGTTAATCATTTAAGATCCTCTGTTATTTATAATACATATATACTGTATATATATATATATATATATATATATATATAAAGGCTTAACTTCGGACACATCTGCAACTAACCTTTTCACTTGTGGCGTTCTTTGCTTTTTTCTTTCCCTTCTTTTTATCTTGATTTTTTTCTGTGACACTATTCTGCTCATCATCCAAAGATGAAAGTGATGATGAGTCTGAGTCAGTGTCGTTACTCTTTTTTTCCACTTGGACTTTTTTTTCTGCATTAACAATAAAAAAAATAAAAAAAAACATTAAAAAAGTCAAGAAACCACTTATGAATGAGCAGCCAAATTTAGGTTAGTGTTCGCAGAGTGAGGTCACCTTTTTCACTGCCATCTGAAAACTCTTTGTCGCTTTCACCATTGAGCTCTTCGTCAGTAGAGTTTTTTTCACTCCTTGGTTTTGTTTTGTTGCTCTTCTTCTCCCCACTCTTTGTTGTATCATCTTTTTCTCTGCCCTCTTCTGGATTTTCACTAGAATTACCATCTTCATCTGCTTTTCCTGACTCACTCGATTCCTCATCTGAAGAGTCACCACTCTTTCTGAGCTGCTTCTTTTTAACACTCATTTTCAGTTTGGATGTTTTTTTGTTGCTCTTCTTCTCCCCACTCTTTGTTGTATCATCTTTTTTTCTGCCCTCTTCTGGATTTTCACTAGAATTACCATCTTCATCTTCTTTTCCTGACTCACTCGATTCCTCATCTGAAGAGTCACCACTCTTTTTGGGCTGCTTCTTTTTAACACTCATTTTCTGTTTGGATGTTTTTTTGTTGCTCTTCTTCTCCCCACTCTTTGTTGTATCATCTTTTTTTCTGCCCTCTTCTGGATTTTCACTAGAATTACCATCTTCATCCTCTTTTCCTGACTCACTCAATTCCTCATCTGAGGAGTGACCAGTCTTTCTGGGCTGCTTCTTTTTAACACTCATTTTCTGTTTGGATGTTTTTTTGTTGCTCTTCTTCTCCCCACTCTTTGTTGTATCATCTTTTTTTCTGCCCTCTTCTGGATTTTCACTAGAATTACCATCTTCATCCTCTTTTCCTGACTCACTCAATTCCTCATCTGAGGAGTGACCAGTCTTTCTGGGCTGCTTCTTTTTAACACTCATTTTCTGTCTGGATGTTTTGACTTCCTCAACTGCATCCTCTGATCCAGAACTGTTTTGGTCCTCCTCTGCACTTTTCTCACTGCTTGGGTTAGAACCATCTTCATGCTCCGATTCTGTCGTTTCGGCACAGAAAGAATATGTCTTAATTATTTACAGGGCTGTAATTCAGACCGATTATCCAGCAAATTATTAATCTGTATTGGTGGTCAGGTGGTCCATTAAAATTGCATTTTAACTGAATTATAAACAAATGATTTAGTCTTTAAATGTTTAATATAAATATGTGTTATATACAAAACAAAAATATATCAAGGTACATTTTATTCCAAAGCCATGAGAACCTGTTCGCCTGATGTTGAGCATTTGTTATCTTTGTCCTTTAGCCTGCTGAATTAGGTTACTAGGTAATAATTAAAACTGCAAATTATTTAACATATATTATACAAGTTAAATCAACGGGATAAAAAAAAGTAGCTAAATGTCAGTTTTGTTAGTGTTAATAATAACACAAAATTATGGAAAACAAGATGACAAATGTACAAACCACATACCAGACGATGACCTTGACTCACAGCGGGACTTTTTTGGTCTGGTTTTTTCTTCTTCTGAACCACTTTGCAACTCACTCTCCTTTTCCCTCTTTCTTTTCTTAAGGGGCTTCTTGATCTCCTCCTCACTTTCATTTTCATCCTTGTCCTTGATGAAAACACACACATTTAATAACTGCAGCATTGCATTTTTCACCACTTTAAAATCTCAAAATCTTTAATAAGCCATGGTGGTGGAATACCTGCATCTTCATCAGCTCCTCTTCAACGACCTGTTTCATGTAAGTTTTGATCTCTGAATTTAATGACTCCTGTCCCACCAGTGCCAAGTATCGCTTCTTTAAAATTCCCAGGCTCAGTTTGCTGCAATATATAAAAAACATGAATTTACATAGTGTATTTGTATTTTAAATATAAAAATATATACGGAAATAAACAATTGCCTAACCACTTGCTATTCAGGAAACGAAATTAAAATTTCGAAAACGAAATTTTTACTAAGGACAATTTGTAGTCGTAGTGTAAAAAACAAACAAACACACCAAAAAGAATCATCACATTTTAACATAATTCAAAACAGGGTCCACATTATTTAGAAGGAAAACCAGTGACGCCAACTGCGCGGAGATCAACTACATTCCCAACTAACAACTTGTTAACGGGCAGACATATTTTAGACCGCCCTCTGCTTCTCCTGATCCAATCAAATAAACGCAATGGTCGTGTAGAAACAAAACGCAACCCAGGTAAACTAAACGTAGCGTTAAATGTATAACATGGACCTATTTTGAAATTTAAGAGAAGTGTAGTACAGTATGCAACATTAGAGATGACATTTTCTCTAGAAAACAAGAAAGTCAGCATATTACTGAATACATCCACTTTACCAGTGGTGTTTTTTACTACCTCAACAGCGGTGGTACAAACGCTATTTTATTAAGATTATTTTACCTCAGATCTGGCTCATCGCACAGTTGGTCGTGAACAAACTCACGAATGTTTGCTGCCTCGCTTTCTGAAACCATCTTTACACTGTTCTACTTTTAATCCAAACGATCTGGCGGCAGCGCGGGACTAAGTGACGTCGTCGGAAATGACGCATGAGTGTAGCTGTCTCTATTCGGCGCACACTACTGCCGCCCCGTGGCGATTAATCGTTCACTCGCAATAGAATCCAGTCATCACACCGTATGTAACCAGAAAAACATTTTTCAAACAATAAATAATAATAAAAAAACCCCTCTAAGTTAATTATAACAAGAAATGAAAACAGACATCATCATTGAGCGGTTTAGAATGTGCAAACGTTACCTTAAAATACAAAATATTGAGAAAAAATGTAAATATTTCATTTAGACAGCACACTGAAAGCATAAATCCTTATTTATATGGAGCAGATTGAATATTTTCTTAAATAATCTGAACATTGAAGAACTTAACATATGTAGCGCTACTGGGATCAACACGTAACCCTGAGGCAGTCGAACTATGAAGTCTGGCCTTTGATGTACCAACGTTATAAATACTACTGAAGAAAGTGTGTTAGGTCAATCAAGTTCTTCACCAAGCCAAGGTCAAATTAATTAAAGTATTTTGATATGAAATTTGGATCACAAAGGTCTGAGAATGCAAAATACATATTTTACATTTACTACTGCTAATAATAATATTAATAACTAAATTATTCCTAGAGTATACTGAAAAAACATAGACTAAAATAATTCTAAACCTTTGATTCTAAAGATCTCTGTTAAGTACAGAACATTTAGTCAACAATAACTATTAAAATTTTAAAAGCAAAAAAAAGTTTTGTAAAATGTTGTTGCATTAACCCGCTTTGTTATTTTAACATAAAACAAAAATGGAGAAGTCAAACTGAATTTCACAAGTAATTTATTTATAACATTTCATTGACCTTACCTGGACGGAAGTCGTGTTAGTGCATATTTGAAAGACTTTTCTAGGTGTTTTTACGTAGATTCTAAACACATATTGCTCTCTTTCAGTAATTTTCGTTATGTGGAGAGATTATTTTTTCTGCAATGCTGATTGATGAAAAGAAAACACTTTAGGTAGACTAAAGTAGAACACAATAATTAGGAATTTTAGCATCAGTACAAGGCCAATTCCAAAGTGAAAAGTGGTTTGGTATAAGACTCAGGTGTAGGCAAAAATGTGGCTCAGAGTAAAATACACCATTAAGTCATACTCTCTGTACCTCTTCAAATATGAAAATCAACTGGAGCTCAAGGTCACACAAATATTGCATACAATACAAAAGTTAAATAGAGAAGAATAAATTAGATTTCATAAATTAATTATTAAAAAAAAATAATCTCGGAGCAACACGAGTAAAAATTTAAATAAAGAAGAAAAAAAAGCTGCTAAACAATTCCATTCATGGTAAACACACAAGAAATGGCTTCTCAGATTTGTTTCCAGTGCTGACACATCCCAGCTAAACACCTTCCTTTGTTTCTCACTGTTGAGCAGCATCTTATTCTGACGTGAAAAGGCGACAGATGCTTCACAGCATGGACAAAATGACTGACAGTGTTTACAACTATGTGAGGATAAACAGTAAAGGATAAATGAGTGCATATCATTAACACCTGCATATGCAGTCTGTCTTCTAGTCAACATGTATAATCTGCTTTTGGAGTGGGATGTGAACTGTCAGGCCTCTCAATCATCATTCAACATTTAGGGGATCCACATTCACTTCCTATTTAAATAGTGCACAGTTTTCATTTTGTAAACAGGAGCACTTTTGACTCCGAAAAAAAATGTTACTATTGTTGCAAATCCATCATCATCCTCTACAATTCTGCAGCAACATTAAAGACATTTGAAATGACTAACTACAAAGCTACTGCTATGACAAAGGTCATCTCTTTCATCCTGATATTATTAAGCAAAAATCAACGCACGAGTCTTTCTGATGACTCATATTTTCACATTATTAGTCTTTGTACACAGTTTGCTGACCGTGCCCCCTTTCGTCGTGCATTATATGTCTCCTCACATGGATGCGCCGAACTCGTCTCTCCCCTCCCACAGCCCCCTCTTCCTCTGAGTGTCCACCTCCCAATGAAGATGCTGGCCCTCTTGAATCAAAAAAGTTTAAGCCTCCGTAACCAGATCCTCTGCTGTTCTCGTAGGTGAGGATATTGAGGGTTTCTTCAAAGATTCGGGCTTCAGGAAACTCAACCTTAAAAACAAAAAAACATTTGGTGAGTTTGCAGTGTAATTTAGCAAAGAATCAGTTTTGACCTTTTTTTGAGGTTTGTGTAAAAGCCTGTTGTGCCCAATTCAAAAGCTAATAGTAAATTACTGTATTTCCAGTACGATTACAATTCCTACTTAAAGACAAACGTATATGATATGATGCCTACTTTAGTCTGCTTCTTCTCTGTAGCATAAACAATGGAGGTGCAGCAAACTTCAGCAATCTTGCGTCCTTCACCGTAGAAAGACCAGCAGCAGATCTCATCTCCTAACACGTCTTTGACAAACAGGACCCGTCCGTTAAATCGGAGAACAAGTTTGTCAAACAATTCGATGTTCTTCAGTAGGTTGTCATCAGAGTTGCTGGTGACAGGGAGAAGCGCAGAATCATAGTTAACTTAGAAGAAATCAAACGTTTGAATTAAAAAAATATCTTGTCTTAGCTAACATGACCTTAGAAGCTTTACCTGGTATAGGAATACTTGTTGTTTCCCCTATTATTTTGCAATTTTATGATGGGCTGTGGACAAAAGAAAATTGTGACAAACCAAGAACCTTTATTTCAATCTGGTACAGAAAAGCTTAAAGTTTATTCCACTGGATTTTGACCAAAGGCTGTTTACCTTTCTACAAGTGGCAATCATCTTTTGTTCTTCTTTGGTGGATGTGATCATAGGGATGCGGCAAACACTTTCAAAAACGTCCTTTTGTTTCTGACAAAGTTAGAAAAAACAAACATTTTATATGTCTGCAACAAAAGGCTAGCAGGTTTATCAATAATATGAGCAAATAAGTGGATACTTTCATTTTAAACAAATATTATCCTAAGATAATAACGGTTTCGTTATATGACGAGAAACAGCATGGAGTAAGCCATGAATTCCCAACTACGCATTTTCTTGCTGTTAAATTTCAGTTGACTGCACATAAATAAATTGTACTGGACTGTAAAACATGTAATACATGATACAGTCTGTTTATGTTTGAAGAACATTATATTCACAAATGGCGTATAAAGAAGGTTTTTCTTACCTGCATGGCACTTAGACAATGCTGAATCAGACCTTGAACCCGATAGTGTTGAGCCTCCTTCAGAACCTCATCTAACTCTCTGCAGTCCTCTGGAAGTGGGACGGAGCCATCTCTCAGGAAGTTCAAAACCAGCCCAAAATGTCGACCACATCTGTCCAAAATTACCCATCCTGGGTAGAGCAGAGATAATTTGATCCACATTAAAAAAAAGCAACACATCATTCAAAACAACAACATGGGCCAACAGGCAGAACCTCCCACCTTCTGAGTCAATGGTAACTTCTGCTCCTCCATTACACATACTGCGCAGCAGACTGTCTTCTTTGCTTAATGTTTGGACAGTTGTATAATGCAGTGAGCCACCCACGTTTAATTTAACATATTTGCTCCCCAACAGACCCCGATATCTTTGCTCATCTACATTGTGGCAGACAGGCTGGGAAAACTGGGCAGAGTCGGCATCATGACCGCTGACTGAAGCCTCAGCAGACATGGGGCTGAAGAATCACTTTTAACTGTGGAAAAATAAGATAGAAAATGGCAGATTAATAAAATGATTAGCAAGTATTTGAATAGAATATACTATTGTTGCCAAATAGATGTGTGCTCTAACCAAATTAGCAAGTATTTGAATAGAATATACTTAAAGATTAAATTGTTGCCAAATAGATGTCTGCTCTAACCATATACATTCATATTTACCTCTAAAATGAACAATCTATAACTCCATACTTACATGTTAAAAAGGTGAGGACAAGGAAGACTTCACAGTGGTACCATGGAAATATTATCTTGCAAAAATCAGGAGCAAGTACTGTAAATAGGAAAGCACAAGTCATGATGATGGAGAAGAGTAGTAAAGTCATGTAGTATTTACATATTGGAACTTTTGAAAGCAAATATCTTTGTACTAATAAAATGCATTTATTTTCTTTAAATACATACCTTATATGGACACTTACTATGGCAATACATCTCTAAACAATCATCAGCGTTGTATAAAAAGGCAAAAGAATTAACATAAATATATGAAATACTTTTAAAACGTGTGTATCATCTGGTTTAAATGTGTGAAATTATTATTTTTGCGTGCGGATATATTACGGTTGTCTTCTCATTCTTATTTATGGAATTAGGAAATATTAACATATCTTAACAAAATCAACTCACCAGTTTCGAGTTCACGGCAGAGCTGAAGGAATTCAAATTGATCCAACTAATCATCAGGTAGTCACACAAACATCACGAAGCAGGGCCAACGCACTTTACTTAGGATCCACCTTTTGACAGCTCATTTTCATCGCAGCTAAATTACAGTGGCTAACAACAACAAATGCGCTATGTTATTAAAACTAACGATAACATCGCTTCTTTGTATTACGAACGTTATTTATATAAAAAATACAATACGTAATGATCAAAGCGAGGGGGTGTGCGCAGACATTTCGTTGTGAGAGGTAAATTCTAGTCATATGCTAATGCTAAGAGCTAAGTAGGTCAACCGGAAACCAAAGTGGAGAGTACACTTCCGCTGCTTTCTTCTTCTCTGTTCGACAGACTTTCTTTTCTGAACAGAAAGAAATTCAAATTACATTTTATTTACGTAAAATGACCCTGAATCAAATAGATGTATTTATTTATTTCCTAAACAAACATATCGCAATTCATTGCAATATTAAGCTAAATACCAGGGGTTTTATTTAACTTTAACGTAAAGAATAATAATATGTAAAATACTGAAGAAAATATATTACATAATATTAATAATAAATTACATCGAAAAAAGTGTTCTTTCACCATTTTACACCATTCAACAAAGACTTTATTTCCAGCTCAGCAAATAATCCACTGCCTTTAAAAGGGTGTATTTATACATGTAGCATAGAAAATATCTGAAAAGAAAAGAAAGCAAATGCTACTGATAATGAGAGAAAAATTTAGTCTACAAAGCAACAGTCTCTGAGATCCTTCATTTGGCACAGCGAGTAACTGTTTAAACAATCATTGGTAAATAAATACATAATTCATCACATAAAGCAGCCAGGTTTTGCAATTTTTCATCAACATAGTGCATACAACATCAAATCTGATATCAATGATGACAGTCTATAACTATAATGATAATGGCAAAGATTGAGCAGAAGCAATAGAATGTACAGTCAGTGCATGCTCTAAGCATAATGACATTCATGTCCTCTCCCTTTACTCAAATACCTCTGACCTTTGGTGACTATGCACCCCAGAAACAGCAAAAAAGAAAAATAATCACTGCGCTTGTAAACACTATTGCAACAACAGATGAAACACATATAGACAATAAATTATTTCAACATTACACCGTGTTTTGGCACTGAATTTTCATCATATATATATATATGTATACAATGAAAATATATAACCTTCCGCCACCATGTATAAGTGTATATATGAAGTTTATATATAACCAAGTCTATTACCAAGTATACATATAAACCTCAGTCAATATTAAGTCAACTATTTACATTCACTTTGTGTGTGTTCAACACAGAGAGAGAAATGACAAAGTCTGTCAATGTCAACCTTGTCATAATATGAAAAAAGAAAAGTCTCCTTCACATTTTCTTTTACATTTTGTAAAATGCATTCTTTCTCACTCTGAAAATCCAACATCAATAACATTCAGTTTGTAATCTTACAACTGTAACTTTGATTGTTAGATACAAAGTATTGCCAAGTTCTCCAATATTTTGGCCTCGCAATAACAAAACTGAAGAAATAAATATTTTTTTCACCGCTTCTTCATCCTATGTTGTTCTTCTGACAGTTTTGTTGTTGTCAATATCTAACCCTCCTTAAGGCACCACACCTAGTAATAAAGACAACTGGATCTTAAAGCACGACCCTCGTTTGGCACATTAACAAAACCCCCCAACATTTCCGCCATTATTAATGTAAATATAATGTGTTGGTTAAACACATAAAGGAGGATTTTGGAAATGAATATAAACAGGGACATGAGGCAATAAAATAGTAAGGAAGATGCCTTGTAAAATAGTCTTCAAATCTTTGTGTCGTTCTGAATTTTCACCATAACAGTTTCTTCTTAAATGGAAACTTCATATTCCCGTGTATCCTAGGAAGTTAAAAAAAAGAATAATCAAAAACGTTTACCTTGAAAAGACAAACATATTTGTATAAGATATTTCAATTCATTGTCACCACAAATAGACAATATTATAGTTTTTAAATAAAGATCAGAAATATGTTTTTTTTTTAGTTTACTTACTCCTGCCTCATAAAGAGGGTTGTTGAAATCAGACTCCACTGTAATGGGACTGTAGGAGTGTGTGTGAGACAGGGACTTCCAGAAAAGGGGCTTCCATTCTAGTTTGCATATGCTGAAAGATGGACAAATAAAATGTTTAAAAATAAAATATTTCAAGTCAATATATAATGTTAATTTCCACCTAATTCAAACCACCATTACATATTCTACAGTAAAAATAGTATGTCATTACAAGTTCTCTTCAACAAACCATAATATCATATCTTGAAACATCAGTTTTGAAAATGAAGTAAGATGTCTTTTGTACTTACTTTGTGTAGTACATATAAATTCCTCCAATCAGAAGGATGACCAAGATGATTGGCAGAATTATTGCCAAAGCGATGTTTTCACTCAGAATCTGATGTGATGGTTCAAAAGACTGGGACACTGTAATTAAATATAATGTTACATTTCAGAGTTAAGCAAAATCAGTGCATGTTGATGTTTTAAATTATTAAAATTAATAATTAATTCAATTATTTATATTTAATTTATGGATGTGATATTATTTATTGCGTTATGGTTTAAAAATGCAAGCACAGATTTATTGTCTACAGCCGTGCTGTTCTGAATATTACCACCAGGTAGCGACAAAGATCAGCATTTAAGGTCAACAGTTATAAAAAATAAATAAAACTATTGAACTTTGAATATGTTACATATTACAGCGAATGTGAAATTCAATTACCTTCTAATTTATGATCATCCAAAAGCTCTTCATATGCAACTGCAGGGAATAATAATATAAAAAAACAAATATTTAATTGATGTAAATCACAGAGGCTTACAAAAATACTACTATATAGAGATACAGTACTGTAAAAAAATCCAAATTTATTAGTCACACCAGAAACATTTAAATCCTTTTAAATCATTGCCTGATTGTTAACACATCCCTACTACATATGTTATTGAGAATTCACATATTCTTACAAAGGGTACTAGGAGTTACAATCTCAAAAGTGTTCATTTTAAAGTACTAGGAGTTACAATCTCAAAAGTGTAAAAGTAATTGTGATTAAAGTTACCTTTGCAAAACGGTGGTGGGCTGTTCCACTGAGAGGGGTGTCCGGGAACGCATGTGATAATAACCTCACCAATAAGTTCGTATCCCTCGTAACAGAAAAAACGTAGAGTCTCCCCTGCCTGGTAGCTGTGCTTGTACAGCGTCTGGTAGCCATTGTCAGGTACTCCAGGGTTTGGACATGGGTCATACTTTACTGTGAGTAAGAAGTTTTCAGAAGTTTCCAAATATGCATTTAATAGAATATTATTTAGCTCAGAAAACAATAAATCACTCACGGACACATTTGGGGCTGCGGTCGCTCCATTTAGGTTTACCAGTGTCTCGGCCATGACAGGAGATTTGGCTGGGACCTTCTAGTTGATAACCTTGGTTGCAAGAAAAACGAACAACTGTTCCAACTGCGAAACCTGCTTCTGGACGCACAGAGCGTGCTCCATTTACAACCTCTCCTGGATCAGGACACTGCTGGACTGTAAGGGACAGGTGGATACAGGACAAGGTGTCTCAAAGTTATGTCATTACATAAGCAGAGACAAGAAAACACTAAAAACTAAAATAGTAGATATGGGACAAAACTTTCCCGGTGCTTTGAATTCTGGCATGCAATGTCGGTTTAAAACACTAGTGGCCGCCGTTTATAAAAAAATTAGAATCCTCACGTAGCAGTAAAAAAAAATTAGAGGAGTATGTTTGTTTCTGTAGAGGATAGCATACACTAGCATACACTATTATTACTATATATTCATTTTACACATATAATAATATATGTTTTAACCTAGCTGTATTATGAAAACTTAGGTAAACCTAGGCAAATACATCGTTCTTCAGCAGCATGTCTGTATATTAAGTGAACAAATCTCACCTTTAACACAAGTGGGTGGGCTGCTGCTCCAGGACAGGTCCCACTGGCAGGTGATGATGTCAGAGCCACTGATGTCATATCCTGGTTGGCACTGGTAGGTTAAAACACTGCCTCTCACAGGGGTGGAATGAGAGGAGCTGATCCAGCCAAATTCAATTTGAGGCAGTGTTGGACAGGTGTCATTTGGTTCAACCTCTGCAGGTAGGGAAAAATGGAATTCTGAATAAAATCTTTGTGATGTCATGTGACTAAACAGCAATTTTTGTGGTATGGGATATTTTTCATTCACGTCAAAAAAAAAAAAAAAAAAAAAAAAATCATACCTCGGTAATGAATGAGGAATCCCTGACTTAGGATGAAACTTGAATCCTCTGGATCACTCTGAAACTGGATAGTGACCTCTGACCCCCCTGACACCACCTGGAAACGTTCTCGGGGACCCAGGTATTGACCAATCACATGGGACATGAGATCCCGACCGTCAAAAACAGTCAACACGTCAGTTTGTCGGATGTTTAGGCTTAAGAAAGGGAAGATAAAAATAAAACAGAGAAATTAGGTTACACTTCAGAGACGCTTCAGTCCACCCACGGTGCTGAACATGTGCAGGAAACGGCAGGAGAAGCGAGGGATGACTATAAACTGCATCACCATGCTAATACAGTTAGATAGTGTTGATAGAAATTTAGCTCTACATAACTCATATACTGTACATACAGTGTATTAATTGAACCAGTTCATAAACTGGAAATACAACAACAACAACAATAATAATAATAATAATAATAATAATAATAATTTACTCTATCTCCAGACAACACTCACATCTGGACATCCAGTTCAATGCGCTTCTCCTCATTGCCGTGAATCTGCCACACACAGTCTAAGCCCTTGGAGTAACTCTGTGGCCAATCAGGAGACAGAATAGTGCCTGTGGGCTCGTTCAACTCTCCTCCACACAGAGCTAAGAGGAGAAGAAAGCGGAGACGGAAATGTGATCAGAGAACACAACGTGTTTCTCTGCAAGGATTTTGCCCTCTGCTTGTAGTTTTCACGTTTTGTCTTTACTTATAAGGTATTCCTGAAAGTGTCTGATGTAAATGAGCTAGAAACTGATGGTAAAATTGGAAAATGAAAAGTACACCTACTTTGGTAGGTTTGAAATATCAAAGTAGAATCTTTGATTGAGCCACAAATGTATTATATGGAGGTTGCAGAGCTCCAGACTTCAGGCTGTGACTCAGAACAGCCTGACCTTGCTAATTCCCACTGACACAGACAAGTCTTTTCTTATAACCAGTCGTCATTTGACAATTGGTAAAAGCTAGAATATTCTAACTTTAAAGGTAGAAAAAAGAAACAGCATGCATTTATTTTTAAATAAATGTGAAGAAAGATCACCATTATTCTTAACAGCACACACACCTGCCCCAACATGTGTGAGGTACAACAGCTAACATGGAGAGATGACAGCTCAGGGTGCAAACTGAAGTGTTAATAATCACCTTTTTCAGTTCAATGCTACAGTTTCTGCTGCTAATTTTAGGCTTTTTAATTAAACATACACCTGAACTACTGCAAAAAATCTCATCAAAATTAAATAAAATGATCTAGAGAAAATTATGAAAGTAATTGAAATGCACTTTTAGCATTTAATTATCAGTTTTATCTTGGGTTCATGCAAAGCAAAAAAAAAAAAAAACAATAAAAATGAGAGAGATAAACAATCACCTAACTTTTCTTTCACAGGCATTAGAGTAACCTGCTTTTTTATCACACCAAAGACAGAAAATATAATCATATAAACTGGGATCTCTTCCAGAACTGGTGTTTAATCACAGCTCCTAGATTTGTCATCGTCTCTCTGCTGTTCACAGTTTTCAATATCTGTCAGACAGATCAGTTGATAAAACAGAAAACATGGCTGCAGTCTACGCACCACTACCTCCTAAAACATCAGACAACTTCATCTGAAGAGTATTATATTCAGCATAACCTTAGGTTGAGTCTGAGAAATAATACACCAGAGTCAGTTGACCACTGCAGGATTCTCTTATGACAAATATATTCAAACTTCACCTCTGCACACAGGTTCACTATCATTCCAGTGTGGATTCCCGGGGTCGACACACTCTATGGTTCCAGATCCCTGTTCCATGACGTAGCCCGGAGAACAGGTGAAGGTAACAGTGGTGCCCAGTTGAAACGTGATGTCGCTGCTGCTGAAGTTTCCATGTGGCATAAAGGGCTCCCAACAGTGTTCGTCATCAAAAGCTGGAAAACAAAAAACAAACAAACAAAAAAAATATATATAAATACATTTTTAGCATGAATATGACAAGTGAACAAAAACAAACATTTCTTTTAGTAATTTTCTGAACATTTTTACTAAATTTTGCCCCCAAAACCTCCAGACCTTCATATCGTAGCGCCAGAAGCAGAGGGATGGAGGACGAATCTGCAGTCAGCTCCAGGTACAGAGCAGAGCTGTCGCTGAGCAGCCCACGTTCTGGTACATCATCCAGGTCAGAGTCAAAGAGAGGGGGAGACAGTGAGCTGTTTCCACTTCGCACAATTAACCTGAGAAAATTAAAACATTTAAATTAGTATTTGTCAGTAAGAAATCAACCAAACACATGCTCCGCTCTCTTTTTATAGATAAGGATGAATAACGTCGGACACTTGACACTCACTTGTCATCGTCTTCATCTAGTGCAATCCTTTCAAAGTGCAGGTGGAGTTTGTGTCCATCCTTGGCTTCAATTAACCAGTGGCAGCTCAGGTTATTCCCATTGCTGTGGTTACTGACAGATGGTGGGGGTGGAGACAAGATTCGTCCCACTGTTGCATTACGTATCCACCCTCCACAAGATACAGCTACGGGTAAATGAAAATATATGTAAAACATTTTTTTTTATTTATGTAAATATAAATATATGTATTTTCTTTTCTTTGTATGTTATGTTAGATGTTAGAAACATATCTGTTTACTGACCCACACACTGAGGTTCGGGGGTGCTCCAGTGGGGCTGCGTTGTGTTGACGCATGTTGACACCTCATGGCCACGGACTTGAAAACCAGGATCACAATGGAAGTGTGCCAGACCTCCAGGATGGATGTCTGTCACTGTGACTCCGCCCCCCTCAGGAGATCGAGGGAAGGGGCAGGACAACAGGAAGGCTGTTGATGACAAGGAAGTTACAGTGAGTTCACAACATAAAAAAACCCCCAACATTATCAAATATGACAACATTGAATAGAACAGGTGATATCCAAATATGACAACTGCTAAATTATTAATCTTTTTAGATACAGTAAGAGACAAACAATAGATCAGAAAATAATTACAATAACAGTTGCACTAAAGATGAAAGATGAGTTTACGATCAAAATATGAATAATGTTTAACATTTAAAAAAACAACTACAGGCATCTCCTAGAAGTAAATGTTACAGTGATTTAACTTTGTTTTAACAGGAAATGGCAAACTTTATTTGCTGTTGACTTGCTGCATCTTTACACAGAACAAATTAAACCAAATTAAATCAAACATTCCTGGAATCTTAAATTGGGCCGTTTGTAGCCAGATGGACCTAAAAGATTAGGACTGTAATTGGACGATTGCTGGTTTGAATTCAGCCTCAGGAGGGTGGCTAAAAACGAACTCTAACCCATTCCCCTGGTGCACCAACATCATGCTGTGATTGTTGTTCCATTCACACTGCACCCTGAGTTCAGGAAGAAATAACCTCTCTTTCAGTTTCCTGATTAAAATACCTAGGTAAAAATAAAATAGTCTGTTGATGTTACCAGTGATTGTTACGTTACCTTGGTAGCGAAGGCTGAAAACGCCGTGGTTGGTCTCTCGGAGGCTGCGGTAGTGAATGTGCACCTGATTGGTTGTGCTGCGTATCACCTGGTTCTCCCTCATCAGTGTCTCATTGGCTAAGAGTTCTGGGCCTGTGCCTCCATAGCCCATGATGGTCAGAGATTCTTCCTTGGACAGGTTGACTTTTCTCACCTAAAGGGACAAATGCAAAACAGACAAAAATATGGAACAACTTTGGACTTTTTTTTTAAGTAATAGTCTTTCATCCATGATGATAAAGATGTTCATTACCTGAATCTCTACGCCGTAGCCTGCGTACACAGAGATACTGTAGCTGCACTCCAGAGGGGAAAAAGATGAAGAAGTTGCAGGATCTGGTGACTCAACAATCCCCTCCTCCATTGCTGACAAAGTTGCATTGCACTGCGCTGTGCATGAAGAAGTAGGTTGGAGAAAATTATTCAAAGGTGTACTGTTGTAAGAATGTTTCCCTTCGCCTCTATTTTCTCTTTTTTTTTAAACAGCTACTTTCAAATTTCTGAACCTGGAGAGACACCTTTAATAAACACAATCACTCGATGGTATCAAACCCGGAACTTGGAACCTTCAAAAGGAGACCTTATTTTAGGACTACATCCATTTACACTCAATGATCGAGAGAAAAATCAAACCGAAAGCAGACGACCCTGATACCCTGGTTAATCTTGTCTCCTCAGATCTGCGTGAATCTGCCGACACCTTCTCCCCTCTTCCCTCCCCCTCCGCTCTTTAATTGTTGTTTGTATTGGTTTGCTGTGTTGCTCTAGTCACCCTCCAGTGGCAGCTAAAAAGGCAACCACAGTCAAAGACAACGCTGTCACATTGTCTCACATGAGTGCATTTCCGACAGCCGTTTAAACAGGACGCCGCCGTCGTCTCCATCCCAGTCAATTAATATTCTGTTGAAAGGAGAAACGTTGGCTGCCGCAAACCGATTCATTAAATTAATGTTTCATGTTTTACAACGTCAGGACAGAGAAAGTGCCGGTATCACATGTAAAACAGGGTTGTCTACAGACTGAATGGATACATTTCATTCGTATCCTATAATGATTTTTATTTATTTGTGGCAATAAAAACTGAAAGACGATGAGTAAATATACTTTTTTATTAACCTGTCTGAACTTTATAGGGAGGGTAAGTCAAGTTCCAAGTTGTTGGATATATATATATATATATATGGGTCTAAAGTTTGCGTGGTTTCCTTTCAATGTTTGTAGAAACCTTTCCCAAATTAAGTTCCTTAATTAAGCCATACATCGTTAGATAACATTAAAAAGTAAAAAAAAGAAAGAAAGAAAAATGCACTTTCACAACATTATCAAGCAATAAATATCCGCAGCGTGATGTTAGAATAAATGAGGTAATTGCATACAGAGTACCTGGCATATGCATTGTAGTAATGGTGGTGGTGGTGATGAGAGTGGTGGTCGTTTCCTCCTCCATCGGCATCAAGGACATGCCGTTTCTGGATCTAGCCTGGCCGACACCAGATGAGGAGCCAAAAGCCGTGGTGAGCAGACCTGGTGATATGACGGTTGCTGTTGACGCTGAGCGACCAACACCAGGCACGGCCTGAGTCGGATTGGTAGTAGTACCTGTAGAGTCAGTTACATTTGGTTGGTACACTTTCTAAAAATCAAACCAAATACAAAAACCTGTGATTTTGTAATGAATTTTAAACCTCATTTATCAGAACCAGGGACGAAAAGTGTTTTGACTGGCCTTGAATTTAAAACACTAACTGGAACCACATTGGCTCATCATAAATCACTTGACTTATTTTGAAAATCTTACAAATGTTTTTTTAATATCTCTCTTTTTAGGCTCAGCAAGAAATCGTAAGCCTACGAAATCCAAACCTGTTGTGAGGAGAACCGGTATTTAAATGAATTTATGACCTTGCCAGTACTTCTTTGCCTCAATCCCAATGTCAAAATTGCAGCCATCAAAATTTTATTTGGTCATATGGAAAAAATACTAAGCAATAAAGTTGAGTTTTTATGGCTTTGTTTTTAGGAACAAAAACTCATGTTGCTTGTACTTGTGTACCTGCAGAAGCTCGACCTAAGTACTCCTTGCTCTGCAGGGCAGCATGGATCAGGTCACCCAAAGGGTAAGAATCTGGGTTTGGTGTTGGCGGTGTGTCAAGCTCAGGGGTCATTAACCGCATACCTGAAATAGCCATGACTGATTACACTTTGCTCTTTGTGAAAAAATAAAAATAAAAAAAATCAATGTCTCTAGTTCACGGATGTAGTGAGCCAACAAATGTTCATGTACTGGAGTGAAGAGATTACCTGAGCCAAGGTGGATCATGGTGACACACAGCATCACAACCAAGCGTGAGAATCCCATGGCTTCGGATGAAACTGGATCACCTGAGGAGATTAGAGTGAGCGTCCAATTTGCAAACAACTGCAAATGTAAATATAGCAACTGTTGTATTTTGTGATGTGCATACATTACTGATAATGAGTGCATGAGCTGCAGAGACAGCGCTGCTGTCGGTAATGAACAGCAAGTTATTAGTCATATCAATTATTCTCTCACAGTTCACATCCTCGTCATATGTTTACACCTCGCAGGCCACGGTGGCTTGATTTAGACTTCACTGTGATACTGTAACAGTCTGGAACTATCCGTCCTCACAATGTTTTCACTTAAATTATGCAAACGCATCTAAGGCATCGGGGGACATTTCTTTTTTATTCCCAGCAGATAAACACACACCTATAGTATAAGGTGAAATAATCGAGCCTGCTCTTCAGTGACGATCTTCAACAACATGACTGAAAATGCGCTATTTCCCAAATCCAGCAACGGACGGAGCCCATCTTCACGGCATGCAGGTACATCCTGGACATTCGCAGCGTTTCATTAACCCGTCCACGGCACTGTGTGAAAATGCACCCCTGCTTTAATTCGAGGCGTTTCCTCGGCGAAAATGCCATCCCGGTGTGTGACAAAATGATGGAGCTCTATACGAAGCAGCATCACTCGCACCTCCCCCGGCCCTCTTTGTGCAGAGGACGATTTTTTTTTGGCAACAGTCATCAAGCAGGCTTCCTCACTGGGAGAACGACACTCATGTCAGTGAGGTTTAGATGCCCCGAGTTCTTACCTCTGTCCAGGCTGCGTCTGGTCCTCTGTTCCTCTGCCTGTTTCCTGTTGCTTTAGGATCTGAGACCACAGACCACAGCGCGGTGCTCAATGCTGGTGAGATGCCCCTCGCTGGTTACCGTGTGGTTGACGCATTCGGCTATGATGTGAGGGCATTTGTGTTGGAACACCAGCTGCTCTCTAGCGGCCACACCTGTGTACTGCAGCAGCAAAAACCTTCAGTCTGTGGTCGCTGGAGGAGCTGTCCAGCAGCTCGGTGCTGAAGCGTGTCCGACACGGTGCATCAAGGTAATGTGCGACGTCAGACGCGACACGCAGTGGGTAAATACAACGTATTTGCTCATTAACAGGCCTGCCGCGGTTTACAGTTGTGGCTGGTTGTTTGTGCTAATGTAATATACAAATATTAATCGCTGTCAGTAACAGCTACGAGTTATAGGAGCACTGGCGCAAACGATTTGAAAATGCATGTTGATTGCAGACTGTAAGCAAAACGCACCCCCAGATAAGCTGTTTTAAAACAGTTTTTTGTTTTGTTAGAATAGATTATTAAAGACGGTGTTATGCCGGCTATGGTCAATGCCTGTTTCCAGTGTCTTCTACTGCCATGTAATTCATACAACGGGTCTGTTGCAATGTGAAACAGCTACTACACCCTAAGACCACTTGCATAAATCTAAACATGCTCGTAAACAAGACGCCTCCCTCGTGTCAACAACGCTTGGTTACATGAAAGGGAAAACCTTAACTTGAATAAAAAGTTAATGCATATTTGAGAAATATGCTGCAGGTGATGTGTGGTCCGGCCCAGTAAATATATCATTATTAAAGAAAGTCAGCTTTATTGTATAATTTCTCCTAGAAATATTATTATAAACTCATAATGATTTGACATAAACTAGACAAACGTATTATTAAAAATATTACATGAATATGACTATATGATTAAATGACACAATTCTCATGCTTTGAACATTTTAAACTAACGTGAATATTGTAGCAGAGGATAATGCTGGAGTTTAGTATGCACGCTGTTATGTGTACTGCCCCTTTAAGTATAGCAGTTATGGGCTCATAACTCCTAAGTATGTGACATGCCGTGTCTGAGTGTGTAGGCTTCATTCACATGCATGTTTGCTCAGGGACTCGGAGACCCGTTATCCCAACCATTCTCCATAATTCCCTGCAGCACATGCTGAGATAAGCCCTGTGAGCTGATGGTTTTAGGGGACATTGAAGTCAAGAAAAGAAATACACAATTGTGTATTTGAAGCCATTTCATCCAAAACTGTTTAAGCTGTGTTTTGTCTTCCTATTATATTGATCTTCTCCAGTCACCTGCACAATGTCAGATAGGATTTTTTATTTCTTTATCTTTTGAAGACCCTAACGCTTTTCCCTCTATTTCAGTAAAAGAGAGCTAAAAAACTCCCAGAAACTACAAAGATGCACTGGCCCATAAATACACTCCCCATGCCTCTGTACGTGGAGCTGGGTGTCCATTCACTGAGTGGCCTTCTCTGGACTGTGCTGCTTCTGTTTCTGTGGCACTGCTATCGCATGGGCTCCGATCTGCCCATCCCTGGCCACGCACATGCTGGAAAGATGAAATCGGGCTCCAGGCGTTCCATGATCTCCCGTGGAGGAAGTTGTGCTGGAACAAAGTGTAATGCACGCCACAAGCTGTCAAGAAGTGATCAAATGACTTCCTTTATCCCCATGGAGGCAGAGGAGGACGAGGAGCAAGGAAGGAATTACCTCACCCCCGTGCTGAGTCGTGCCTTGTTTCCAGCTCAGGCATCTGCAGAAGCCAAAAAACTCTACACAGCACTGCAAGAGTATGCCAAGCGCTACAGTTGGGCCGGCATGGGCCGCATCCATAAGGGTCTCCGCGAGCAGGTTCATATCTGCAGATTTCATCTCTTATTATAATCTGTTATTCATTGTTGTCCTAATTTTATTCAGTCAACTCTAAACTACTTCCAGAAGCTGTCGCAAAGCTGAAAATCAGCTAGATTTTTGTTTTCTTTGTATTTGCAATGAAGGATAAACAGCAGAGGAATTGATTATTGTCACTTTTTATTTTTTCCAATTTAGGCCAGACTAAACGATCAGTCTGCAATACAAAAGCCTCATCTCTTCTTCCTGCCAGATGTCCCAAGTGTTCCTTTTTTCCCACGTGATGCTCATCGACATGACATCGAGGTTCTGGAAGCCAACTACCCTGTGATATTGGCTGAATTCCAGGCTGTCTACCAGCGGGGCATTGATTCAAAACTAGGCTGGACCTGCCTGGGCCCTAAGGTGCACTGTACAAATGGATATGAATTGAAAATAGAGCAGCTGTGATGAACACATTTATAATCTGTATTAAATGGATTATATAGATGCGTACTACAAACTGTTGTGCGAGTACTGAATTGTAGGCACTTGAATTTTAAACCTGGAGATAAAGGAAATTTAAGTTTGGAGAAAAACTTTAGTTTAGTTGGTTGGCAATGCTCTTTTTTTCTTTTCAATCAAACAAAAGTTATTACACAAAATGTATTAGTGCAATCAGAAGAACTTCGATTATTTTGAATCACTTATACGTATCATGGGAAAAACAAAGAAGAACCTGCAAAGTTAAATTCTACATGTGGAAATATCAAAGATAAGGTTTTTTTATTGACATTTCTTGTCTCTTTCAGGGCCAGACAGTGTTTCCCTTGTACAGTGCAGGCATTTGTGTGGCGGGAAACTGTCGCTCCTGTCCCTGCACCTATCGCACACTTCTGTCCCTTCGCACCTTTATCAACAGCAACTCACTGGGATCTGCTGGGTTTTGGCTGCTGGGACCTGGAGCTGTGCTGGGCAGTTCTTATGGACCCACCAACACCAGGCTCCGCTGTCATCTAGGCCAGTGAAACCAAGGATTACAATCAATCTGAAATCTGGAGTTACTTACTTTCTAAATTTTAAACACACAGATTAACATTTTTTAAATTCAATTTTTGTTTGAGTTGCTGTTCAACTGCACGTCTAGAAGGTTTTTATTCAATAAATACAAGCATCTGTCTGGTTAACCTTAAAAGGTTATATTCTGAGGCAGCACAAAAACCAAAAAATCCAGCTCTACCTTTTATTTTCCTCCTAATGTCATTCAAATGAACCTCCTGATTTGTAACTAAGGGCATCATTACAACGTGAACATCAGGAGTAACGGTCCGATTTCTCCAGCTTCACTAAAAACTCAGTGTAAAATCTGAGATCCAGGTTGGTGGCAACAGCTCTATTTATAAAATGAGGACAAAAAAGTGTTTTTTTTACACAATAAGCAGCTAATTTGTTACATAATGTGTGACGTTGTGGGTTCCACATGTCATTCTGTGCTATGATCTGTCTGGTTTTAATCCTCACCATCTTAAAATGGAGCTAAAAGTGCAGTAAAGTTTAGTTAAGGCCACAGATCTGATTACAATCTTTTTTCAAAAAAAAGTTAAAAGCAGACTTGACTTTTACAGGTCTACAGACTCCGGCCCTGTGTGAGCTGGTGGTGGGTGGGGAGCCTCAGTGCTGGTCAGAGGGACACTGCCTTCTGGTCGATGACTCTTTTCTCCACACTGTCTCTCACAAAGGTCAGTGAGTCACAGACATCAGGCTGGTTCTGGGTGGAACCAGACTGAATTCACTTTAAAATGGTCTGACTGGAGTTTCTCCTTTTTAGCAATCTCATATTAAATTCTATTGCAGGAATATGGAACATTATGTTTTGCACAAAACTTTTTTTTAGAAAACTTTGTGAACTTTCTAATAAAACTTCTTACTCCCTGCATAGAGTTAAAATAATTTTAAGGTTGAGTTTATGATTTGAGCATTACATTTTAAAATGAGGACAAAAAAGTGGTGTGTGTGTGTGTGCGTGTGTGTGTGTGTGTGTGTGTTCTAAGGTCCTGCAGATGCAGGACCTCGCGTCATTCTGAGCGTTGACCTTTGGCATCCAAACGTGGCTGCAGCAGAAAGACAAGCTCTGGACTTCATGTTCACCCCTGACCTCTGAACGCCCCTTCGACATCTCCAATATAAACCACCTCCGAGGATGCCTTACTTCAGCTCCGCCTGTCGTGGATCATGCGTTCAATTCCGATTAATGGATCACTGTGTAAATTATAAAAAGCCATCAGCCGTGCTATCTGACGGTGCTGCATCTAAGGCCTGCACCGAGAAGCTTCACTTGAATATATTATCACGGATGAAACCCAATGAGGTCAAAGGTGTGAAGAAATGGCTGCTAACTGTGAGCGATAACATTTGAAAGCACAAAGACATGAAACCTAAGAAGAGCAGAGTTGGTGGTAAATATTCCAGAGTCACAGAAACATCACAATTATACTACGTACTATGTAATGGAATGCCTTTTGCATGAAAAATATGACTTGTGTCTACAGGATGTACTTTTTGAGATGCTAATGCATGTGCTAATATGCCTTAAGAAAAAAAAATAGAAAAAAAAATCTAAGTATTATAATAATCTATTATTATTATTATTATTATTATTATTGTTGTTATTTTTATTATTGTATTATTATATATTGTACTGATACTATTTTTTTCCAAAAAGAATGCCAAAAAACCTTCTGCACACTGTGGACACATGTCACATGCCTCTGTAAATATGTATTTCTGTCAATTTTGTAATAACAGCTAGCAGTTTTGTTGATGTCCATTGTATAGCATACAGTTGTTGGAATATTTGGAATCTAAATATTAAATAAATGACAATTAATCAGGATCGACTTGGTGAAATGCTTTAAATGATGGAAGTGATCACTAGATTCAGGAGATAATAGTTCCATACAAGAAATAAAAAAAACAAACAAAAAACATCTTATTCAGCGAGCAGAGTTAGTACTGTGTGTGTCTGTGTGTCTCTCTCTCTCTCTCTCTGTGTGTGTGTGTGTGTGTGTATTTTTTGTTATCTACCATCTGGTTAGATGAATGTCCCATGATGAGGATTACACAGTCTGAACAAATCCCCCCCCACTCCCCCCCGTGAGACAGATTATTCTTGAGCTTTATGGACTTTCTTTCATGTTCTATGATTTGTCCAACTCTGGACACCAACGAGGAAGAAGCTTCGTTAAAGTTCATCTACCATCAGTGAAATATTGAATATTGAACGAAGCGTTTCCTTCATTTTCTTCAAAAATTGTCCAAATCAGTCCAAACTCCTTTTACATTGTGTATAATAAGGAACATTTACTGTACAACGCTCATCACACAAATTATATATTTTTTACGTCTGTACTCATATGTTAAACAAGCAGACATGTCATCATGCTGATTGATTCCTTTATGAAAACTATAGGGATTATTGTTATTGTAAATGTACAACATAATCTCTCACATTTAGGTTGAGGTTCAACTTAATCTGTAATAGATTAGGTTACATAATAGTATGTGTGTGTGATAAACACAGCATTAAAACAAGTACTTTAGTAGAAGCAGAGTACTACTGTGTAGTATACTGAACAGAAATGTCAACAAACAGTGTTATTGGGGTTAGAGCTTTNGGATGTTGTGGGGGTGGGGGGGGGAGGGGGGGGGGGGGGGGGGGGTGGATTGGGGTGGGGATATTTCCTTTTAAACTGCACAGACAGAAGCTCAATGACAAATAACAGAAAAATGACGAAAAACAAAAGGTAACAAAATAAAAAAAAAATCAATTCTGTCCTTACAAAAACTGTCTGTTATGTACAAACCATGTGCAATTTCAACAAGAGAATAATAGAGAGGTGTGCATCCAAGATGGCTCATTTGTGTAAAAATAAATAGCAGTGAATCCTTTCTGTTAAAAGTCATCCATGTGGGTCGCAGCCCTCATTTCTGTGACATCATTTTAACAAATTCTGTAAATGAATGAAACCAACGATGAGCTGAAATCTTCAAATTAAATTAACACCAGAGATACAGTGTGTGTGTGTGTGTGTGTGTGTGTGTGTCTCACCTTCGAAGTCAACCGTCCCGTCCCCATTGTTGTCAGCTTCTCTCACCACAGCGTCTATTTCACGTTTGCTGGTGTGTTCACCCAACAACTTGACCATGGCGTGTCTCAGCTCATCAGATGTGATGCTGCCGTCACCATCTATGTCAAACTGAAGCAGAACGGACAGAACATCATACACAACACAAACACGTTCAGGTAAGTGTTTCTGATTTTACACTATGTCCACTGAGCGGCGCTAAAGGCCAAGCAGACAGGACAGCGCTGCAGCAGCCTCACCTCCTTAAAGGCTTCTTTAAGTTCCTTTAACCCGATCATCCCTGCAGTTTCAGCCAGAAGCTTGGGTGTCATCAGTTCCACAAAGTCTTCAAAGTCCACTCGTCCTCCCACTGTGGTGGAACAGATTACAGTTAAAACCCAGGAAACCGTGTACACACCCCAGATCACCACTGGGTTAAATTCCCCTTTGACAGGATTTCAGTTTAAAAGCATAATCCTCCTCCTTAAAAGATCAACCTTGAAACATGTGGTTGCTGTTATTAGATTTCCACTTCCCAGCACATTATACGCTTTAAATACAGTCCAAACTCCTACAGTCCAAATACAGTCCAAACTATATATTAGTTGGACAGAGCCGAGGCCCGATCTGCAAAAATGTTTAAATACAACGGCGATCAGATCTATGTCCGTTTAAATATATATATATGTCTTTTTGCAGATCGGGCCTCGGCTCTGTCCAACTAATATATAAAGTTTCAGAGTGGGAATACATCGTCTGCCACTGTATTTATCATGTTGAAATATATTTTACTCCAAAACTAACAGCTGAAACATGACCCTACAGCAGTGATGAGGACACAGTCTCAGGGTCAAACAGTGTCCTTCACTGAACCTGGAATAGATCATGCACATTCAGCAGCTGCTTCTCTTCGTGACTGTGACTCCCTGAACTGCAGTTTTGAGTCAAAACCTAAACTTGCTCCAAAAGAAGAAGCCGATCCTTGAAATCCAACTGTTTCCTTATAACAAGTTAAATTTAAGTTCAGTGAAAAAAACAATTGTTACATGTATGGCTTCTTTGTTGTTGTTTAACTTGTGAATTCATTTGAATGTGTTTTTTATTATACATACACTACATGTATGGCTTCTTTGTTGTTGTTTTTTATTATACATACAGAAGAGTATGTTTCTACAAAATCAGTACAAAACCCCAAACTTCTCAAATACTTATTTGAAGTGTATTTCATTAATAGATCAGTACACTGATCAGATGCTCTCCTGACTCAGACCTTTAAAAACAGACATTGTATTTGTGGTATTATTTTTACAGTTAACTCTAGTTTCTTTTTTCAAATTAGAAACACAAATAAGAGCCTCAGGAGACACGACGCCTCCAACACCTGTTTCCTGGAGCCTTCGTGCGTTAAGGACAGAGCTTTTGTGTGCGTGTGCGTGTGTATTTGCATTGAGAATGTTACTCACGGTTCATGTTAATGGTCTGGCTCAGTTCTATCAGCTCCATCTCAGTTGGCATGTAACCCATGGTTCTCATCAGGTTCCCCAAATCTTTACAGCTTATGAAACCGTCCTTGTCTTTGTCAAACTCTACAAAAGCTTCATGTAACTCTGGTATCAACATAAATGGACACCAGGCAGAAGAGCAGAAACTTTTGTCACTAAATTATTACACAAACCAAATAGGAAAAAAACAAAACTAAAAAAACATATATCAGAATATTGTACCTTCTATCTCTTCATTGGTGAGCGCTCTCGTCTGCAAACATTCATATATGGAAGAATCAAATCACCCTTGACATGTATTACATATATGTATATATATTCATATAATATTTATGTGTTTATAAGGATGGATGGATAGAGGGGTGGACAGACGGGCGACGCACGGTCAGATATCTAACATTAATCACTGAGTCATACGGTGTTGGGAGGATTAAAATATAACAGCAGTAAATTCTAAATAATATCTAAAGTGTGCTTTAACACGGCCTTTTCCACTTGACAAGGTTGTACCATCAGCAGTGAACTCACCCGAGACCAGATTTACAAGAAAATGTAAATATCTAGCAGTTTTGCATATTCTGTGCTAGCCATGTGTGACAAACCACAGAAACTAGACAGTGTTTGACTGTCCGAGAGTGTATGGGTGAGTTGACAGGTTAAACCTCTGCTACTGCTTCTACTTCTTCTTTTTTTCTTCAGTCAAATTAGAATTATCATTGGCATCTGTAACAACTCAAAGAAGCTTTTAATCACAGCTGCTCATGTTGTCTTTCTGATTATGTCGCTGATTTATTCCAGAGATGAAATAAAGTGCAGTAAAATTAAATATATTTTTTAAAAACCTTGCTTATAATATAATAATATAAATGTAATGCATTTACATTTCAGCTCATGTTGAACCACATACATCATTGGTATGTAAACCAACTATTATAAATGATCGAAAACACGTGAAATATTATTTTTTTATTTTTAAATAATAATAAAAAAAACCATTTACTTACTTTTCTTCTAGTTCCCCCTCTGAGAAAGATGCAGGCTTTCTTCAGACTCATGCTGACAGAGGAGATCTTCAGCTACTTTTGGGAAAAATTATGCATTAATTAAATTTTCTTTCTTTTTTAATATGTTGCTGTATCATCCAGTTTGTTTTCAACACCAAGCATGCGTATGTGTGTGATCAGCTGCAGGCAGAGAGAAGTGATGAGGTCTCTCATGGATTATCTCTGCAGCTTTGGTCCAGAAAAGTAAGACAGGCTTAATGCCGGTTAGATATGTTTATAACACGGACATAGAGGAATGAAAAAAATGACAGCAGAAAAGCCATAAGTACACTGTCTTTTCACTCACATCTCAGAGAAGCTTCTATTTGATTTTTCCAAATAATGCACTTCTGAAAAAAATACCCACTGTTTTCAGTTTTAATAAACACTGTTTAATAAATGAGGGCTCACAGAGTTGTTATGTCAAAACCTTAAATGTCCGCAGTCAGCAAGCAAATGATTTTTTATTTGCTTTCACATGACACAATATGAAATTAAGTTTCCCAGGTCCTGGAGGTTAATAACAGATACAATGGAGTACATAAAAAAATAATCAATGAGAAACAAAGTGCAATGAAACAGTGCGGGTCCTCTTAGTGTGGGAATAGAGAGTTATTTGGGCTGATAAACAAATTCATTTTATTTTTAAAATTTATGTCACAGAGGTAATGGCATCATTTTTAAAATGATTTATTCAATTAGAATATCATTTTTGGAAGAATTACAGTGTAGTTAATAAAGTTTGGTGGAGTAAGTTCTCCCTGCGCTGCGGAAAAAGGTTGGTAACCAATGTAAAATCACTGTTTATGTTTATGACGCCACGCTTTGTCTCATTCTGTTAAAGGATGGCACCACACCACAAATACCTATTTTATTTTATTATTATTATTGATTTAATTATTGATTATTAACACATTCATTATTATTATTTATCATATTTGATTCATTAGACTGAAGCTCATAAAATTAGATCTTCATTTTCCCCCACCTTTTAGCACTGATCATTTTTATATGGCTGCGGTAAAATAAAGATACAGTTTTATTACATAATAAATAAAGTTTACCTACAGTACATTTTTATAAAACAAATTTAAGGGATGCCATTTTAAAATATAAACAGATGTGGTTACTTATTTAATTATTATTTAAAAATAATTTATTTATTTTTTTATATATATTCTGAGTTGGTGGTTCACAGGTAGGACGATCAGTGTAAGAACGTTGTGAGTCAGAAAAAAATCTGAACTCTGAACTCAGCTGCAGCAGTATGAACCAGTGTTTCTGTCTGACTCTTCTTCTTAAACCCACTTGACTCACTTATGAAGATGATACCAGACCTTCATGCAAATATTAAAAAAAAAGCAGGTGTGTGCTCCACTGAGCACACACCTGCACACACGTCTGCTACTGAGAATATCTGCAACATAACAAGAAGTTTCCTGACAATTAATTTCCTCAGTTTCTAAATCTAAAGGATGTGAACTGATAGCTATGTATCAATAAGTCTACATTGAATAAATGGATTAAAGAAGAGATTTTTTTCTGGAAACCCGTTTAATATTTAACCCCCAAAACTCTTGCATCAGTGTTGTCACTGTTAGTAGTTGCTCCTCCTTCTTTAAATTAAAAATGCAAATTTAGACTTTCCCGATGATACACCCTCATTTATAAAGTCTCACCGACAGACTGTCGCATTCAGAAACTGTTTTTTATCTTTAGTTTTGAAAATGGAGAAGCTTTCACTTCTGTTAATACTGCTCCTTTTGTCCAGTGAGTTGCTGTTTAATTTTTAACATATTGAACAGCCTTTACTATTTTGTATAGTTTCTGACACTTTATTGTTATTGTTCTTACAGGTTTGCAGGGTCAGACCATGGAGTCCATTCTCTTTACTCCGCTAACAAAACTGCCCCAGGAATCACCCAGTCTTTCCTGCAGGGGATCTGGATTTGATTTTAGCCAGTATGGCATGCACTGAATCAGACAAAGTGCCGGAAAAGAACTGGAGTGGTTAGGACTTATTTTCTATGATTCTAGTAAAAAAATACTATACCAGCAGTGTGCAAGGACGTGGAGAAATCACCAGAGACAACAGCAACAGCATGGTGTATCTGACACTGTCCAACCTGAAGCCAGAGGCCTCTGGCTTCAGGTTGTATTACTGTGTGTATTACTGTGCTAAAAAGGCACAAAGATGCAAACACCAGTAAACCAGGACTAAAACCATCTGGGCCTAAAGTTGTGACACAAATCCACCAGAGGAGGAGCCCTTACACCACTGATGACAGACTGCACGCCCCATTGACGCCACTAACTGAAAAAAAACCCCAAAGGCTCAATGTAGGCGTACTGCAGACTCAGCATCATTGCCATGTAGAAGAAGGTATTTTCAAATTTGTAAATTAAGGAGCATCCGTGTGATGCTGTTTCACAAATACTTCAAAATGCACATATTCGTAGAATTGGTCATTTAGCAATAAAAATAAATAAATAAATAGATAAATAATTCCAAAAAAATGTAAAAGTCACCACTAGAGGACAGTAGTAGACCAACACTTATACAGTAGACTCCAACACCTCGGTCTAAGGCAGAAGATAAGGTTCCATGTTCATGGTTCAAGGTTTTTATTTGCTATCTGTGCATAGACCCACAGTCCATGCACACTGGAAATCCTGTGCGGGCTCACAGAGTCAACAGTTTTATACAAACATTTTGTTGAAAAAAATAGAGGTAGGAAATATCAAGAATGATAAAAATAAAATGGTATGGTATGTGGTAAGGCATAACGATAACGAAGAGGATAACGATTGATGCCTAATAACCACAATGGACGAATGGCATTTCTATCATCGTAGATGCAGAGTCCTCTTCTCACAGTCTCACTATGAACGAGTCACACAAATTAAAAATAAAAACTTTAACATTTGATATTTTCCATCCTTTAAGTCTGTATACTGGGGAATAGAGGGAAAGGGACAATTCCAACCACACTAATAATGTGCACAGTGTCCTGGTCTGTTCTGGTCTCATTTGGTCAAAGACTGGTCAGCCATCCCAGAGGAAAGGTGTTTGTTTTTGACTTCAGATGTTTATTTGTTTATTTATTTAAGTAATAGCTATAGTAACACGAACTAACTTTTTATATTACATTCACCAAACCTTTTATTTCTCATGTGGATAAAAATGCTTTAACTAAATTATTATTGGTCCATTCTGCAAAATAAGAAAAAACAAAACAAAACAAACAAAAAGTTTGTAAATATTAAATTACCAGGCTTAAATGTTTCTGTCAATACTATTAATATAAATAATTATTATGATTGTTGTTTATAAGTAATTAAGTGCTATCCATTTTCCTGATCACAGTAAGGAGGAGTCCATGCAAACTCCTGTGTTCTCCTCCTCTACTTAACTGACTCCACAGAGGAGGACAGAGATCAGTGGTCACACTGTTGAACATGATGGAGTACAGGACAGGACTGCTGCTGTTAGCTGTCTGCTGGGCAGGTGAAGGGCTTTATCTCAGCTTAACCTAGAATCAGTCAAGTTCCAGCACAAACAGAATTTCTCTCTCTGTTTTCAACAGGTGTTGATGGTCAGAGTCTGACACAGTCTGAAGCAGTGGTTAAAAGACCTGGAGATTCACACAGACTGACCTGTACAGGCTCTGGATTCACATTCAGC